TGTGGGAGTATGGGTTCGAGTCACTTCTGGGGTGTGAGTTTTCAGTTGTATATAGTCCTGGGGACCATTCAGGCTTGTTTGCATTTGTGTTCCTCACGTGTGCCCCAAAGAATGAGGTGATTTGATAAAATGCTATGCCCAAGATTACCATCCGAGTGCCGGCGGGGAAGTGGTTCAAATAGCCTCGGCTATCACTTCCTTATGTCCGGTCGTGATGGTCAAGCGGATTAAGGCGTCCCTGTACATACCAGTTGTGGGAGTATGGGTTCGAGTCACTTCTGGGGTGTGAGTTTTCAGTTGTATATAGTCCTGGGGACCATTCAGGCTTGTTTGCATTTGTGTTCCTCACGTGTGCCCCAAAGAATGAGGTGATTTGATAAAATGCTATGCCCAAGATTACCATCCGAGTGCCGGCGGGGAAGTGGTTCAAATAGCCTCGGCTATCACTTCCTTATGTCCGGTCGTGATGGTCAAGCGGATTAAGGCGTCCCTGTACATACCAGTTGTGGGAGTATGGGTTCGAGTCACTTCTGGGGTGTGAGTTTTCAGTTGTATATAGTCCTGGGGACCATTCAGGCTTGTTTGCATATATATATATATATATATATATATATATATATATATATATATATATATATATATAATAAGCCAAGTTTTCATGAATTAATTGTTTTTCGACTACCTAACCTACCTAACCTAACCTAACCTAACTTTTTCGGCTACCTAACCTAACATATTTCGATAGGTTAGGTTAGGTTAGGTAGGGTTGGTTAGGTTCGGTCATATATCTACGTTAATTTTAACTCCAATAAAAAATAATTGACCTCATACATAATGAAATGGGTAGCTTTATCATTTCATAAGAAAAAAAATAGAGAAAATATATTATTTCAGGAAAACTTGGCTTATTAGGCAAATCGGGCGTTGCATAGTAGGCCGAGATGTGCGTTCTGGCTACTAGGTACGACATATATATATATATATATATATATATATATATATATATATATATATATATATATATATATATATATATATATATATATATATATATATGTGTGTATACATATGCGCTGGCTTGTGTTCGCTGCTGGTCTCGTCTTCCAAGACACTATTATGACCAAAATCGAGGCAACAGAAGTTGATAATAAGTTAAGAATATGAATAAATAGATGGCACATTATCTTATAATTAGCACATGAATTCAAATAATAATTAATTTTATTTACAAGTTACACTGGGTTGGTGATATTACGTAAGTGATATTTTTACATTCTTGCAAAGCCACTAACACGCATAGCGTTTCGGGCAGGTCCTTAATCTAACATATACGGTAAGGTGAAAAAGTACATTGTGGTAAGGTTTATATCAACAATATAAATTGAAAAGGGTGATTACACTGGTAAAGATTAAGTACTTAATTAGTCTTTACTAATTTTGGGGAAGTACAAGATAGTGTGAGATTGAAGCACAAGGTAGGAAACTATGATGAAATTAGGTACTTTTTGGTTTTACTTTTGAAGAGGGCAGAGGTTGGACAATTTTTTAATTCATCAGGGAGTGAGTTCCAAAGACTGGGCTCCTTTAATTTGCATGGAGTATTTACACAGATTTAGCCTGACTCTGGGAATATCAAATAGATATTTATTTCTGGTGTGGTACTCATGGGTTCTATTACACTTATCAATAAAAATTTTCAGATCAATATTAGCATTTAGGAACAAGGGTTTTGTACATGTAGATAGCACACGAGAATGTGTAGAGTGAGTATATGTTTAGCATGTTGAGGGACTTGAACAGAGGGGCTGTGAGTTAGGTTCTTTTAATTGCCTTATACAATTTAACGAATAAAAAGGTTTTCGTGCCTTAACATCTTTATATTATGATAATCACGACATATCTGCATTAAAATCAGTGTGCAATTCCGGTTTTGGCCTCCACCGCCTTCTCACGTGTTCTCATGTAACTTGTAACTCACTTGTAACACTTATATGCTGTGCTTCCTATTTTAACCTGCTATGGGATTCTTGTATTGTGATTTGTGTATTTGTAATCAATGAATTTGTGCGCCCCTTGAGGGACTTAAAGTAGAGGGGAAGGGGGTAGAAATAACCTAAGCTTCTCTATCGCTTTGAAATGTATTTTTTTATAGTCTCAATATACATACTTGAACTTGAAGTGGACTTTAATGTTTTTTCGGCAGCTTTATTTCCTTAGTTTCCGAGCTGTTTTCTCTACCGTGTATGTTGTAATAAACTATTCCTATACTTACAGTTGTTTCTCCCTGTGAAGATTATTAAACAATGGTGATTATAAGGGCGCGGAAGTTCAGCCTGGCCAGGGCCGCCAGCAGCCCTTGGGCCCGCCCGACAGCACCCAGTCTTTAATTTGGCACCTTTGTGGGACCTTGGTATAAGCCTAACATGTATATATACACTGGCTGCCTGTCCTCTTACACAATGATTTATTATTACCTATTATTTTATCATTTAATTTAAATATTAAATAAAATAATTTATTTAATTATTATAGTAAGTACTTAATAATTTAATAATAAGTAGTAAGTACATGGAAATGATTAAAAAGTACAGTTTAGTCATAGGAGATTCCTAGATTGGAATTCACTACCAAATTTCAATATATCCAAGTATTTTTAGTGCGAAATGCTGTTATTATATGCATATATTGTTGTTTAATAATATTACGCTTAACCACTTGGGCTGGACGGTAGAGCGACAGTCTCGTTTCCTACAGGTCCGCATTCAATCCCCGACTGCCCAAGAGGTTGGGCACCATTCCCTTCCCCCGCTCCATCCCAAATCCGTATCCTGATCCCTTCCGAGTGCTATATAGTCGTAATGGATTGGTGCTTTCACTTGATAGATCCCCTCCCCCCTGAATAATATTACGAGAGCAGTATTTACGGGCTATTCATGCCCGTGCCACCTCTTGAGTGGCTTAATCTTCATCAATCGAGAGCAGTACGTCCTAACCAGACATTATATGATGATATCCTGAACAGTTGATAAATAAAAGTAATTGCGCAACTCCAGTTATCTAATACTTAACATAAATGGTATAAAACCTTATCATAAGGGATTTGTAGATCAGTGTTTAAAAGGGAATTCGGAAGTAATAATAACACAGCTGATGCCATCTGTCGGCAGATAAGAACACTATCAACTGGCTGGTCAACAGTGGCCATAAGGTACAGCTTACGCCATCTGTTGAGATCAAATTACACCTATAACAAATTGCCCTGCAAAATACAACTAACGCCATCTAGTTTTTTTCCAACGCACTATAAATAGCCAAACAGCAATCCATAAGGCGGGTTGTTGTGCTCGGGTAGGAGGTTCCAAGCTCCACCCACAAGAGGTATGGGGTGCATAATAAATGGCATATCATTGGTAGATATTCTTTGTTGACATTCACACAACAGCCAATCACAGGAAGGGATCAGATAAAGGTTCCATCCACTTAATTAATCATCTTTATTCAGCACACCATCCTTGCTTATGACATTCTGCTTCAACTTTAATTTACCTAAAAAGTGAAATGTTAAGTATTTAAAAGTATTAATATAGTGATAATTAAATACTGCAGGATGTAACGGGTGTTACAGAAACATGGGCTGGCTACCTAACTTGTGACGTTATTATTGGGGGTTGCCTAGACACAAATAATGATACACTGCTCTGCCCTCTTATTCGAGTAAATTATTCAGTTAGATGGAGATTTCTGTCAGGTGCAAAACAGAAATTGTTGTTCTTTTTCACAACAACCTTGTTGTTGTGCACAAGGACCTATTTCTTAGTTTAAATTTTATTCATAAAAGAGTGTTGGTATTCCCCGCAACAGCCAATCACAGAAAGGTATTTCTGGAAGCTCGGCCTCCTTATGGACTCAGCACATCGCTCTAGCTCATATGGCTCTCTGTTTCATCTCTTGTATATACTAGTCTTGCTCCACACCCACCCAACTGGGCGGCAGCTTTACAGTCATGTGCATGCATTACCTACAGTAAGCAAATTTTGGATACTTCGCTAAAATTTCGGGCAGCACATCATTATGAATGAAGTACTTACACATTTCTTGGACACTATTGATGGTGTTATCTCTAAATTCCACAATTTTTTCTCATTAAATTATATAATGACGCAAAGTATGCGAATAGTACTGCTGACAGAGGTTTACATTTAGTCAAATCTACATCAGCAGATGTTACAAATTCCCAGAGGTACTTGTAGCCTAGCAGTGGTTACATCTAGAAGTCTGCTAACATTATTGGATGACCCATAGACGTGCGGTTCTTCATGCATAATAGAATGATGATAGATGGAGTAACTGGTGTGAATTTCACTTTGCCTCAAGTCTCCGAAATTTAGTTGATGTTCATGGGATATTGCTGCCCTCAGGCTGCTCAAAGGCAGTCCAAGTTGGTAATCAATTCCCTCTTTACGAGCAAAAGTTTTAGCTAGCTCATCAGTTCTATCATGTATTCGGAGACCAATATGGGAAGGAATCCACAGGAGACAAACTCTGACTCCATCACTGATTATTTCACTATATCTGTGTCTAGCTTAGAATGTTTGGTAATATGTTTATTGTTTGTGGTGTGTGTATATGTATGTATTAACACGATGTACTGAACGGGGTGAGAATAGCTTGAGCTACCTCATCCCCTTGTGTGTATTTTACCTCAATAAACTTATTTCAATTTCAATTTCAATTTCAACATTATAAATAGTGCGCTAAGCACGTCAGCCTACATTTAATATCTATATAATAATAATAATAATAATAATAATGTTTATTCAGGTAAAAGTAAATACATTCAAAAAGTTACAAGCAGAATGTTGGACTTCTAGATAAAGCTAGTACATAATATACCTAAAGCCACTAATACGCACAGCGTTTCGGGCATATACCAACAATGATTTTAGTGTAGATATTGTGGTATGATTTTGCAATATGAAAGATAACATCACTCAACCTCATTTAATAAGTTTATACCTATTAAGAAGAAGATTTAAACTGTTAAATTGCATTATATTGTGGTTTTAATATTGACCAATATACGAAACGTACAAAATTTGTGTCCGAAATGGTATAATAATATAGGGATCCGTCGTCTGTAGCAAGAATCCTGGCCACATGTGCTACACCTGCTGCGTGGTGGCCTGAGGTCCCTGGGGTGTATAGTCTTCCAGTTGTGTGTGTCCTGGCTCTCGCCTCCCACAGGTGACGCCGAGTGTAACCTACCATACAGGCCATTTATCTGACATTACTTGCAGCAGTTATTTCCGCTAACAGTGAGCTTTCCCCAGCACACTGGACCAAAGGCGGGACCAAAGAGCCAAAGCTCAACCCCCTCGCAAGGACAATTAGGTGGATACAGGTCCCCCTTCTGTCACCTGCCATAATCCAACACCATAAACAAGCCCAGCAAGATTACTGCCACTTGTAAGTAGAGTGTTTCTTGCTCTGTTAGTGTAAGGGTAAAAGGAACATTGCCATAGGCCTACTCAACCTCTTTTGCCAGTGGCTGGTCAAATCTACCCAACCCAACATAGCATAATATAACCCAGCCCATTTGGACACAGGTAATGTTTTACCCAAGACGGTTTCCCAATGGATTTTAAGACCTATTTATCCCAGTCCATTCAGATGTACACATATAGGGCTGTAAACCCATGAAACTTCTTACCCATTAAAGCCGTAACTACCAGTACAGTTTGTCTTTGAATTTTAGAATCAACCTATCCCAGTGCTTCTGGATACATCGGGGTAATAAACCCATGAAACCAACTACCCACCAAAGCCATAAATGTCAAAACATTAGTTTAAAACCCAGATAAATCCTCAAGAACAAGAGAGGGAACAGTTAAATTGCCAGCGTCCTCTAAGCCCAAATACTTCGGCTGGACGGTAGAATGACGGTTTCGCTTCATGCAGGTCGGCGTTCAATCCCTGACGGTCCAAGTGGTTGGGCACCAATCTGATCTGTAACTACAGTATAAGGGGCCGAACAGTGACTCCCTGTAGCTAGCCGTACCTAGGTAGCTCCACTCATATGTCACATCAGCTCTAGGACCTCAATAATCTTAGTCGTCACGCTCATTACAGTACTCTTATTCCACAACAGGAACATCAGTAGACAGATTAGATAAATCAAAGAACTTCTGTGAACTTTCCAAGTGAAGTAAAACTTTATTTGCGAGATATAAAATAAAATGAATAATAAAATAATTATTAATAATAAAATCTATATAACAAAACACATGTATATTACTTTATCACTTGATAACTAACATTAAGTGACTCCCGTCACAATACTAGGTTATCGAATGGAAGGTTGTGTAGGGTAGGGAAAGTGGGGGAAGAGGTTACAGGTACATCCTGTAATAGAGTATTTAAAGCCATTTCCACCAGGTGACATGTAAGGTAATTACAGGTATTGCTTTTTGTTAACTTTTTTTAATTCAGATTTTGAACATAACAGAATGTACATTACATGTTATCTTGTTTGCAGGATGTCATCTACAATGGAGCCACTAATTGATACGATAATAGTATCATCCCTCAATGCTGGTGCTGACTGTATCCAGGTATGTTTTATTGCTAAGTTCACTGAATGTAAAAACTAAAATATTTTTTTGAGATACCATACTGTATATAATACTGTATGTTTAGAGAATGAGGTTTTCAGTTATTTTCAAAAGGGAAGCAAACACTGAATATTTTACATCAATGTTCACACTAGAAAGACCCAGAAGACAAGACTTCTGGGTCTTCTTTTCAGCTCACCCCAACCTTTGAAGTCTTTCCTTTGGACTCAGCTTCTCTATCCTTGGCGGTGGGCGTGTATGATGGCTCTGCCCTGAGGCTCTCGGCTGTGGTTCCTGGGGGCTTATGGGGAGTCTGATGTGTGTCCTTGGGTCCCGTTTGATCTTTTGTAGACTTGTGTACCTTCTGCAAAGGGTCTTCTGTTGCTGGGTATAGGGTTTTTGCTTCCCTGTTCCCTGTATGAGTTTGATATGGGTGCAGCTCCCAGCAGGGTTAATTTCTGGGTGCCTCAGATGCATCCTAAAGGAGGTTTCTGACCTCGACTTATCCTGGCGAAGGCTTGGGAGGCTCTCTGTGCATACTGTACCTCCTGTGCGACATGGATTTCACCTTGGTGATGCATGCAGCCTCTTTTGAATTTCGGTTCTTTTTATTGGATGCATTATGAGGTTCTGGAGTTGTCCTGGCTGGCAGACAACCTGTTTTCATTGGGGCTAATGAGCTTGTGTTGGTTTCATGAATTGTGTGTTTTATATTGTTGTGGAAGGAAATGATTAGGAGAAAGTGCTAAGCCATTACAACATTATAGCACTTGGAAGGGATCAGGATAAGGATTTGGGATGGACGGGGAAAGGAATGGCGAAGGAACCTGCATGAAGTGAGACTCGCTCTGCCGTCCAATCTATGTGGTTAGGCACTTGTTGGGGAATCTTCAGCGAGTTTCAGGCATCGATATTTTCTTATAACCAGCAGTGGTCTGTTTTCTCTGACTTTGTGGGTACTTTCCCAGTGGTGGCAGACATGATTAAAATTCACTGACAATTTTTTCATAGTACCACTGCTCTCTGCATGCCTTTAGAAGAGATCAGATTCAGGCCCATGGTCCCTGGTAGACATAAAAGAACTCTGCAACTGATGGCACCTAGTAGTTTGGCACTATATCAGCATTGTAACTTCAGGGAGCCACCGGGGCTCACCCAGAAATTGGCTTTTCATTTCATTTAACCCTTTATTTTTATTTTGTTTATCTCTTGTCAGGTTTATGATGGCACTACTGGAACTCAGTTAAAGAGCTATCGTGGCCTCCCTGCTGCACCTTCAACACTGTGCTTAGTTGGTAAGTATGTGCTGTTTCTTTAGCATAGTTAAAATCTGTCCAAAAAAAGTGCACATTATGTATACTGGTATATTATGCATACATTTGTATGTAACCAACTAGAAAATACTATATAGTAAAAATTGAAACTCAAAGTGCTATTCATGACAGAATAGCATCACATCAATGTGAATATTTGAAAATCATAAATATATGACTGCCGATGTAATTTTTTTTAAACTCGATCCCTTCCTCTTCCTTACTTAATTTGTCAATAGTATTACAAAATGTACACGTAATATCAAATGAAATTGTTATTTTTACACACAGAAGAATAGAGAACTGCAGAAGGCTTATTGGTTAATTCAAGGATGCTTTTATGTATACCCAACCTAACTCACTCCTGTGTGTGTGTGGTTGAAATAATTCAGTGTCTAATATGTTACCTGGTAATCCGTTCCATGAATCTACAACCTTATTTTAAAACCAATTTATTTTATTTGAAATCTAAATTTATCCAACTTGTATTAAGTTTTTCATATTTTATTTTCTGTTGATATGAATTTCACCTTATTAATGTTTATTATACCCTTCCATCCACTTGTATGCTGTATAGCTCAGTAATCCGAATTCTGGAAACCCAAATCTATAGATAACTTGAATGAACTCGCGTTGATCATTTTCGAGCAAATGGTTTAGTAAACAGATACAGTTTCAATGCACGGGTAAGTGCTTCACATCAGCCATAGAAGTTTGGGGACCAGAGCCAGAAGCTGACCTTTCACAGAGGCACATGAAGCAGAGGATTGTTATGATCACCCTCATGGAAAAGATTCAGAAAGTAAGCGAAGCAATATAGACAGCTACAGGGTTTAAAGAAGCAAAGCACTGAAACTGCCAAATAACTCTGCATAGGATTTGCTCAAAACCTAGGTTAAACTCCCATAGATACATGGCAAGTTTCTCATTATAATGACAGACATATTTTCAAAGCAGTTTCCCCTCTCAATAAGCATAGCATTTATTATTTATATTTTTCTTTGTATTCGTAATCTTGTATTTGTTTATTCATTGTCTTATCCATTTTGTTTTCTAGGGCATGGAGCATACCTGATGGCAGCTCGGAGAGATAAACCATTCCTGCAAGCTTGGCCCATACATCGTCATGAGGCATTACAGATAAGACTTGTTGTTCCAGGAAGAGTTAATGCTATGGCTGTCAGTTCCACAGGTTCTAAATACTGCATCATTGGTTAGTTGAAATATATCGTGTATACTGTACTGTAAGGATGGAGGAGCTTGCCTTGTTCATTGGTGAATAAAATCACAATGAATGGTTGTTTAATCTAGTTATAATAATTAGATAATCTCGGTCACATGTTATACTGTATTTTTATAGTATGCAGAGAGTAGTGTGTATTAATTTATTTTGATGTGATCTCGCATTATAATTTGGATTTGAGCAACTTAAGTTACAGATCAGACTAAAAGACTTAAAAAGACCTAGATGGAATACAAATCAAAGTCATAAAGGCACTGGCAGAAGAACTATGCCTACCACTGAAATTACCTTGTGACTCTGTTGTCCTATAGGAAAGGGGTATCATACTAAGTGGTTAATTCTTAATTATATTTAAAGATTTTGTTCATGCTATCCACCATACATTCCTCTAGTCTATTAATTCACTCTGACATTGTATCCTGGGTTTCATTCCCAGTAGTCTGGGACTGGGATCAGGTACTTTGCCCTGGCCTTGGAAATTGATTTGACCCGTATTTATCTGGTTATGTTCTTATGTTTGTATGCCAACAATGTCTTGGCCTCCCAAGCAGTGTTGTGTCCAGTAGTGGGAGGGGTTGTTGTCTTTGTTACACTTCCTAGTTGGGCACTTTGTGTCCAGTATGCATATTCTTTATGTAAATCTTATCCTTTTTCAGTGTCCACCCTCATGGGTCTCTCCAAGAGTTTATCTTGCCTTGCTGTGGTGGTGGCACTGCTTTCTGTGAGAGCTATGGGACTTGGTATTGATTTGGGTTTTATGTCTTGTCCTGCACTGTGTTGTCAGTTTTCATCTGTTTTCCCAGTTTCCCCAGGCTCAATATGCTTGGCTTTGAGAGGGTTTTGCTCTCTGCCAATCTGTTTCCAGGCAGAGACTGTTTGTCCTGGATTTTCCTATCTGAGGGTTCCATGTCATTTGCCTGCTGGGCTTTGGGAAGGTGTTCTATTTGATTTGGTTTGGGGCTCAGGCCTTTGGTTTCAGAGCCTTGATTTCATGCTGGCTGCCCTGAACTATGGATTTCAGCCTACTGCTCTGTGCAAGTCACTGGGTGAACCCCAATGACTTCCTGATTATGCTCTTCCTCTTCCCCTTCCAGGTCATCGGTTAGGGATTGTTCTGCATGTATCTGACTCAGAATTGAGGACTTGAGCCAGTGGACAGTGTGAACCCCAGTCTTTCCTCCCCAAATGAGTGGAAGAGGTGGGGTGAATAAGTGCATGTCTGTTATGATTTTTTTTTATCATTTGTGTACATTGTTGGGGGAGGGAGTTTGCAGTTTGTGAGACTCTTTGAACTTGGCGGTGGTCTGTATTAGTTCACTGACTTTCTGGGTGCCTTCTTGGTGGGGTGGCGGAGTGTCGCCTGCTTTCTGCACCTCTTTGAGAGTCCAGATTCTGGCTCTGGTCCACGGTGGGTCGAACTCATTTCCATGCTGATGCCGTATTGTAGTTAGGGACCATCTCGGCAATGGCAGATGACTCTGGGAGCCCCGGTGACTCCCTAAAGATGGAGGTTTCAGAGATCCCCAATGGCTTCAGGGAGCCATTGGGGATCACCCAGAAATTGGTGCTTCATTACATTGAATGCTGGTCTTTTTATTTCTTCATTTTCACTCTACATGTATGTATCCTGAGACCACTTACATGTGGAACTAACTCTTCCTATATAAGCAAAGATTTTTTGAGAGCTTCTTCAGTAACTGCTGAGCAGCTGCTTGCTTAGCAAGTGTCTGGGAGTAAAAATTAGATGTGCATTGGAGGCTTTCATATCATTTGGACAAGCTTTTATGCATTTTAGTAAATTTAAGTACAGTACAGTAATTAGTGCTTTTGTAACTGTTATTTCTTGTTTCAGGTATCAGTGAAAAGCTGTATGTATATAAATTATTGTCTGGTCGTCTCATTGGTGTTGCTAGTCGCCACTATCAGCCTATCACTCGACTAGTATTCACTCCTTGTGGCAACTATTTTGCATCTGGTGGAGAGGATGGCTTTGTTTATTTGTGGAGCTTGGCCAGTTTTATTGAAGCCTTACACAAGTATGATGCCCCACAGGTGCAGCCACACTTTATCCTTGGTCAACATTCTGACAAAGTAAGTAAGTTTTAATTTTTGTTGTACATAATTTAAATGAGTTTTCATATAATTTTATATGCATTATTCCATTTCTCAGGATCGATAACTATTATTTAGTGTATATCACTTGGAAAAACACTCTTTTTTTTATTTTTCACATAAAAGTTGGCTGTTAATTTTAACAACCCAGTTTAAAATATTTAATTATATGCACTGTATATGGGCAGGACGTAGGACACCATGTTTAGGGAGTGTCCTACGTCCTGGCCACTGATATTTCTCAGTTCTGTCTCATCTCCACGGAGTGGATTGTTTGACACCGGCTCCTTCCTTTGGCTTTCTGGATGTTCATGCGCCAGGACTTTGACCTCTTCACATCAGTTTGGCTGTGGCACCTTCCTCTTTACGGCGTCATTCCCCAACTGCTAGGTGTCTGAACCTGGCCATTTTTCCGCAGCTCCGCCTCTTTCAGAAGGTCGGTCTGGTGACATACCTTGCTGGTTCTGCCTTCTCCTCCAGTTTTCATGTCTGGAGTTTCTGATGCATGTTATCACCATCTCTATGGTGATTAGGTGGTTGGTTTGTTGGTGTCCCACCTATGGTCCTCCTCTCAGTGACAGTATGAAGTTTCCTGGCATGCGTTTTACCATTTTCTTTCCCTTCATCATTGCTCTTTGGTGTCGGTTGCCATTGTGCTGTCATTTCTTTCCTGATTTTTTTTTTTGGATCAGTGTCTTATGTCGAATACTGTTGCTTTGTATCGTGTAGCATTGGTAGAGCCACTTCAGCTTGCATTCATGGTCGATACTTCCTTGGCCTTGTTTCATAAGCTTTCACCTCCACCCTTGTCATACACCGCCTGAGCTTGCTTGATCTTTGGATTGTGTTCTTTTCTCCTTTCTACTCGTTTTATGGTGCCCCATTTAGTTCATGATTGTTTTCTTAAGGCTCTGTTTTTTGTCTCTCGCCTCCAGTCATTGGGTGGGTGAGTTTCACACTCTCCTTAAGTGCTGTGGATTTTGTACCTTCGACCCTGGAGGTCATTTTTTCTACTGCAGCTGGCTCCTTTTCTGGCAAGCAATGAGTCACTTGATTTCTGGAAAGGTTCTTTGGTGATTGATGCTTGGTTGGTTCAGCCGGGGGTGCATCATGTGTTTGGTTTGGTGGCAGCTCTGCTCCGCTATCTTCATGCCACAGCTTCTGCATCAGTGGACTTTTTGTGCATTGATCTGGTTTCCCTGGTTCCCTGTTTTAGCGCTTGTATTTCTTTGATCGTCCTCAGTGTTTAGCCTAGCCAGCCCTTGTGCCCATGATGTTCGTAAGTTTGCCACTCTCAGCTCTGTTTGCCAATGTGTCTTGGGCCAATATTTGGGCATGGAAGTTTTAGTGGTCAAACAGGGTTCTGACAGATGGATATTTTGTAAATGTTCCTTCTCCTTGTTCTTGAGTGGCCTTGGGTTGTGTTTTGCTACCTGTAGTTTCTTCATTGTGATATCTGCAGATCTCTCCTCCCTAGTTAGTCATCTTGTTTACCTTCTGCATGGGTAGTTAGCTACAGAGAGCCACAAGAGGCTTCCCCCAGAAAACCACCATTTAATGTAATGAAACACCAATGTCTGGGCGAGTCCTGGGGGCTTCCCCTGATTCCCTCCCTTTTCCTATGGGGTCAGGGATAGTTTTCCCAACTTAAAACTGAGGGTGGAGCAGGCGGCTGACCTGGTCTGCGTACTCGGCAGTGGCAGACATGATTAAAATTCACTGACAGTTTTATCATGTGCCACTGCTTTCTATGTCTCTTTAGAGGGGGATCCGGTTCTGGCTCGTGGTCCCAAGTAGGCCCCAAAAAAAAACCTGGGACTGATGGCATCTAGTAGTTTGGCACTGTATCATCATTGTAGCTTAAAGAAGCCACCGGGGCTTGCTCAGAAATTGGCGTTTCATTACATCAATGCTCTTTTTTTTGGGGGGGGGAAGCTTAGTTTCCTTAGTCCTTAGGAAACCTTCCTTTTCCTTAGTCTTTCCTTTACCTGTGTCCTCTTGTTCTCGAAGTTTTAAAAAATTCTTCTTTGTCAAATTTTCGAGGTAGTTTGAGTGAATCCCTTGTTGCATGTGAATTATTTCCATAGTTTTGGCATTTTTCAAGGCTTCATTGTCTGTGAATGCTCCAAGTGTATGTAAAGCTTCACTGACTTTCAGGATACTTCCTGGTGGTGTACTCACCTAATTGTGCTTGCGGGGGTTGAGCTTTGGCTCTTTGGTCCCGCCTCTCAACTGTCAATCAACTGGTGTACAGATTCCTGAGCCTACTGGGCTCTATCATATCTACATTTGAAACTTTGTATGGAGTCAGCCTCCACCACATCACTTCCTAGTGCATTCCATTCAATTGGTGTGGGGAATTGTCACTTTTCCCCTATGCCTTTGTGAGGGGGTTCAGGTTTTGACTCTGGTGCTTGGTAGGCCAGACAGAACATATGCAACTGATGGGTTCTATTAGCATTAAGTAATCTCAGCAAGATAGCTTTAGAGCCACCAGGGCTCTACCAGAAAACATACATTTTATTACATTCAATGGTGGGTTTTAATGTATCTTTCTACAGGTCTTTTGTTGCTAGATTGTGTCCCCATAATTATGATGACTGGGCAGGGACATTTCAAATGATCCTATTACACTGATCCAGGATACCTGCTTGATATAAGAAAACCAGACCAGTATGATGACCTGGTCTGACTGATCAAGATTCTATTCATTGGATCATTAAAATCTTTTCTTAGAAAGCAACTGCATGTCTTTTTCAGAAAGCTCTTCATATATAGTACATTTGAAACCTGGTTTTTAATTTTGTTTAATTATTTTAGGTGACAGATTTGGCCATGACATCATTTGGCATAAGAGGATTCCTCGTATCTTCATCATTGGATCACACTGCTAGAGTGTTTGACTTGGTGACTGGACGTCCAATGTACAATCTGGTTACTTCTGGCGGTGTGACAAGTGTAGCATGTAACACCTTAGGCTCTCAGTTGTTCTTGGGTCACAATGATGGTACGGTCAACATAGTGAACTTGCTGCCTGCCCCTCCCCATGGAGATGTTCAAGTAAGTGGAGCTGAAGATTAACTGCTTGCATCATATTACTTTGTACTCATCTCCAGCGTTGATGAAATAAAACAAATTTTAAGGCACAAAAAGTATTGAACTAAATTACATAGCTATTAAAGAATCTACTGGTTTCATTTTCTAAGCATTCACTATTTGTCATCAATATATATACTTAACTAATATCCATTTACAGGGCTGGGTACCTTCATGTGTTGGTGATCTTTGACAAAATTGCTTAACAATGTTGGCCTAATTATCATTATAGAGAATTATGTTGCTCAAGTTAGAATCATTCATTTGGGAGCCTTGCCCCTCTTTTTCTGGGAGGAGCCCCTTGGTGGCTTCCTGAAGCAATCTCACTGTGGTGGATCCTCACTACTGGGTCACATCAGTCACAGGACTGGGGACCAGAGCCAGAACCTAGCGCCCCTCCCCTTCACAGAGGTACTGAAAGCAGGGGATAATTATCACCACCTTAACTGGGAAAGCATCCATAATATTGCCAAAGCTTTACAGACAACTGCAAGGTTCACAGAAAATGAACCATCACAATGTCCAAGCGATTCATTCTAAACAATTGGTTCCCTCAAAACTACCTCAGACCCCTTAGTTCTAATGGCTGCCACCAGGCAGCCTGTAACCCCCCACAACCAGATCCAAGGTCAGTTGTGCCACTGATATGATTGAATCCAGTAATATGCTCCTTGGGTCGCCATCTGTTGCACACAGTCCCATAGCTTCTTAGCTAAGTGCAGGCCATCCTTCAGACCTTGTCCTGCAGGGGCTATTTGCGTGTTGTATCTTTCATTCTTTTCTTTTAATATTTTTTCATGTGCATATGTTTGCTTCCTGTCAGTCTTGCTTGGACCTGGCAATTTTTATGCTTTGAGCTGCATATGCTTAGGAGTGACCTTCCCTATATGCCCATTTAGTATTGCCTATGCACTGACAGAGTTTATTTTCTGGCGTGTTCAGGAGTTCTCTCCTCAGGGGCCTGAGGAGGGCCCCACCCACCCTGACTATCAGGGTTGGGGGACCCCCCTTGCTTTGGTCAGTGTACAAGTCTTTGAATCCTTTGCATAGGCCCTAAATTGGGGGCATTCTATTTGCGTGTGTGTGGTGCAACAGAGTACATAAGTGCTTGTTTATATGGCACACCATGGACACCCTATTCAAGGCATTGTAGGCTGAATTGAGTGCCTGTACTTTTGGCAGACCTGTGCCTGTACTTCTTGGGGGAGTACTTTGTACTTTGTACTGTACTTTTGTGTGCCTGTACTTCTTGGGGGAGGCCAGAGGAGGATCAGTTGGTGCACTTAAACTCTACTTGGATGTTGGTTCCTTCAGAGTAGGGTATATCTTGAGATGATGATTTTGGAGCTTTTTAGTGTCCCCGCGGCCCGGTTCTCGACTAGGCCTCCACCCCCAGGAAGCAGCCCATGACAGCTGATTAACACCCAGGTACCTATTTACTGATAGGTAACAGGGGCATAGGGTGAAAGAAATTCTGCCCATTGTTTCTCGCCGGCACCCGGGATCGAACCCGGGACCACAGGATCACAAGTCCAGCGTGCTGTCTGCTCGGCCGACCAGCTTCCTTGTTAGTTTGTTTGTTCCAGAGAGAACAAACTGATTATTTGGCAGCTCTCCCCAGGACTTGTTTCCATGTGCTGTATGGAGCTTCTGACTTACCTTATGTTTTTAGGTTTTTGTCGTCTGCATTATGCCATCCCTGGCTCGTGTGAACCTATTCCAGTACTTACTGTGGAATTTGGACCTTGCTTTATTGATGGGCCTGGCTTCTTTCGAGTACGGGTGTGCTTTAGGTTATTGGCCACATGAGATCCTGGATTTATCCTAGCTGGTTGACAACTCTTTCTCGGAGACTTGGAATAAGTCCTTTTGAACCCAAACACTTGATTGGCGGGAAGTAAGCTTTCAGGTGTTCTTGGGCGGCTCTCTGTATTCTGTGCTCGAGGGCTGTCTGTTTACTCTAGGGGGACTCCCAGGGTCATGGTCAAGTGGCAGCTTCATGTACAGTTACCTGTGCTTTTTTATAAATATATATAAATGTACATGTAAATGTATACATAATTATTTATATAAATAATTACAAGCTAATTCATTTTTTCTTATTTTTGTGGCCTAATTAGCGAATAAGGTGCTGCTGTTCTATATTATTGTAAATAATTGTTTCTTTTACTTTCAGGTTACCAGTAGGGGAGTTGAGTGTCACCAAAAAGCTGTGAAATGTTTAGCCGTCACTACTTCTGGTAATCAGCTTGTCACGGGTGGAGATGATGGTGAAGTCAAAGTTTGGTCCGTTATCAGTGGAGGGCAGGGAACTCTTGGAAGTAACAAAGTTAATGACTCCCACATAGCACTGCAGAGGGTGGTGCACATGGGTCGGGGCCCAGTTACCAACCTATCCATTGTGCGCACTGAGAGAGAGGTTAGTTGCTTTTAGCTTCAGCCGTCATTGTCTTGGCTCAATTATTTAAGTGTTGCATGCAGTGTGCAAGGATGTTGGTTCACAGTAGATGAAGGCCATATCCGAGTATAGTATTACAAATCAAAATTGAAGCTGTAAAATTTAGGAACAAAATCATTTGTATTTCCTCAGATCTTGTGATAGTATTGAAACCCATTATAATGGCTAGTTAAATGGTCACATAAACAAGAGCTAGTGTATTAAATGTGGGTATCACCCTGAGAACATAAGCAAGCAGGCAAGATGACGATAAGGGGTAAAGTGCACGCACGCTGCTTACTTTATACATGCTACAACCTCTCCAAATATCACAGTATCCTTATATAACCCACTTGAATGCCCCCAACCACAGGTTTCAATAGGGTCAAACAACCCTGAAATACCCAAGGTAAGCACTCTACCCCAGTGGCTGGGCCTCGAAAAGGCAAACTCTCAAATACACCAGAGAAGTCACTGTCAGTGCAAGGGTAGCTCTAGATGGAACTCGAGGAAAGTATCTGCTGGACACCAAAAAAATACACAACCATACTGGATAGAAAATTTCATTCCATTCACCTGGGCTGTATGGGTCTCAAACCGTGGACCCCCGTATGAGGCAGATGCTCTCTCGACTGGGCGATGAGCAGTCTTAAAAAGAAAAGTTTTCAGAAGTAGCATCCTGCTGAAAAACTGGAATTTTTTTTACTCTTCCTGACTAGTAGTCAGGGAAACTCGAAAATTCCTACTAGTACAGTAGTCAGGGAAAGTAAAAAAATTCCAGTTTGGCAGCAGGATGCTACTTCTGAAAACTTTTCTTTTTAAGACTGCTCATAGCCCAGTTGAGAGTGTGTCTGCCTCACATGCATGGGGGGATCCACAGTTTGAGACCCACACAAGGGGTTGCCCTTCATTCTTACGCGTGGAGGTAGTTAAGCGCTCTAGTCTTATCATGGTTATGGCATTTTCTTTTTTACAAGTGCACTCTTCTAAATACTTCTTCCATACCATTTCCTTGGGATGACATCTTTCTTTCCCAGGCAATGGACAATACCTTTGGCTTTGCCCCGGAGCTTTCATGGCAGGCTCCCAGGGCTGGTGGAAGCCTGAATTAGACCCTGGGATGCCTTAGATTATTCTTGGTATTTTGTTACTTTCAAGAAGGGTTGTATGCTCAGGGAAGGGATTCTCTTATCCTGATCAGTACAAGTTTGATTTAGCCACAGCTTTCCCAGGGTCTGTTTGGTGGGAAGTCAGTTGAGGATTGGGGCCAGGCTGCCTGGTGGCAGTAATTGGTACCAACAAGTTTTTAACTAGTTTGAGTGAATCCCTTTTGTGTGAATCGTTTGCAGAGTTGTTTTGCAGTTTTGAGGCTTTATTTACAGACAGCTGGAGGGTCCACAAAAAATTCACTAAATGACGGGGACTTTCTCTGGTGGGTGCCAGATTGTCACTCACTCCCTGCACCTCTGTGAGTGGGCCAGGTTCTGACTCTGGTCTCCAGTAGGTTAAACAGAACTTCCATGACTGATGGGATCCTTTAGTATGGAGAAACTCCCTTGAAGATAGCTTCAGTGAGCTACTGGGGCTTCTCTAGAAAGAGGCATTTCAGTACATTCAATGCTGGGTTTTTTTCTCTAGCAATTTTCATGTATTCATTAATTTTTTTATTATTAATTTATCATTATCATTAATTTATTTTCAACAGACACTAACAACTGCAGAACTGGACATAAAAGAAGTCATTGCACCATTTAGTCAAGACCATTCATCTCCATTAGCTGTACCTACTATAGTTCCAATTCGAGGACGGGGAAAACAGCATCTCCAAGAATTGGATTTGATTAATTTTACTCCAGAATTGAGGTAAGAATAGCAGATGTTATTTAATGTTCCATGAGCTGCATAATTAAGGCTCATCTTTTGAACCTAATGTAATTAATTGTTAGCTTCAGCAATTCATGAGTCAGTTATTAATTAGGTACCACCAGTAGTGATACCTAACATTTCTCATATTTCCTTCTGATCAAGGACCCCTCAGTCAATTGATTTCCAAGCCAGGACATCACATTCTTGTCAGGTTCTGTTGACCTTTTGTCCAGTGAGTAGTAACATCTTAGATGTTTTGCCACCAAGCTGGGAAAGTAGGTAGATGAGACTATTCACACTACCACCAAATTTACTGCTTGTTGTGACATACAGAAACCCAGTCTTGACAGTTTAAACTTTGTGGAGCCCAGAATACTTCAGCAAGTTCTGATTGGCAAAGTCTAGAGACAATTTGTCTCTGAACTGTCAAATCACTTCAGCCTGTTCCAGTGGCACAATTTATTGTCACGGATTTCAAAGATCAATGGCCACTAGTGTTTCTTTCCTGAGGCCATTGTGGCAGCTGGTCTGAATCCAGAATTTTGGATCCAAATCTGAAGAATTTTTATTTTTTTCTATTATTATAATATATACACATGCAACAGTATACATAACTAAATGCTTATGCATCATTAGGAACTACTAAGCAGCTTTGGTTGGGGGGGGATAATTTCCCAACTATTGATCCAAGCCCAGTATAGCCCCACACATTAGTCAAGTGCCAAAGGCACATAACAAAATAAAGTACCATCTGATGTAGTGTGCATACCTCTTGCACCAGCCAAAACAGTGCTCTTATTTTGAGCATCCAGTTGGGATGCTCAAAACCACCAGTGGGAGCCGGTCGGCCGAGTGGACAGCACGCTGGACTTGTGATCCTGTGGTCCTGGGTTCGATCCCAGGCGCCGACGAGAAACATTGGGCAGAGTTTCTTTCACCCTATGCTCCTGTTACCTAGCAGTAAAATAGGTACCTGGGTGTTAGCCAGCTGTCACGAGCTGCTTCCTGGGGGTGGAGGCCTGGTCGAGGACCGGGCCGCGGGGACACTAAAGCCCCGAAATCATCTCAAGATAACCTCAAGAAGAGATCCTGGTCACTAAATCTTGAATATGGAATGTTTTTTAAATTACTCATTTTCTAAAAGAAAGTGAAGTCCCATTGCATGATACATCAAACTGCAACCGTGTGGCTCACACTGTAAACATAGTCACCTGCATTGGGTTCACTGATATCTGAACCTTGTACATAGTCTGTATCACTATCCAGAGCTTCTGTATTACAAGCAATAATTTAATGATGATGCTATTTCATTATCATTCAGTGACACTGTGGGCATAAGCTGCATGATGTTGCTGTGAGCTGATGTGTTAGTACTGAAGCCCTTACACTTGAGAGGGATGGCCCACTCTTCTTTCCAAGACAGAATTTGATTTATTATTGGCTTGAAGTGAATGCGAGTCCTGCATACCTGGGGAAATTTTGAATCTCATACTAGACCTAGAATTGACCCTGGTTGTGGTCAACCAGGGTCAATTCACACCACCAATGAAATAACCCTGGTTAATATGAGCACCTAAAGGGTTAACTATGAGAATTGGTTAGGGAGAACTCGACCTCACGATCTTAGCGATCATGGCCCATTTGTTTCTTCGCTATGTCAAAAATACTGAGGGGATTAAACAAGGTGAAAATGGGAAGCCTATTTAAACTGAGGGGTAATACAAAGTGACATTCTCATACTCTGGAGTGGTAAATGAGATGCACTAATTTGATGTCCATCCACAACTTTTAAGAAAAAATATGATGTTTAAACATCAGAGACATAATTAGCTTACTAGGCATTCAAGGCTAGGAGCACCATAGAAAATGCCTTCCCATAATAACTGATATTCTGTCTGCAGCAAAACTAGAACATGTATAACTTGCTTTCTGATATTTTACGGAGTTAAGAACTTCCCTTTTGCTTTAGTAGTGTTGCATACGAAGTTTATTCTCCAGTTCACTGGAAAACAAGGGGGTGGTTGAAAATGGAATGGGGGTATAATAAGTATATAGTATTTACCTATAATAGTTATATTTTTATATTCCAGTGTCCAACAAAATGCAATATCGGAGGGAATTTCAGGGACCAATGATGATCTTCAAAGCAGCATCAACCAGCTTCAAACAGCAAACACACAGCTCTTCAAGTTTGCTCTCAGGCACATTATTGATGAAGAGAGAGACTTGTGAAAATCAATTTATTTTATTATTTATGTAATTGTATATGCAATAAATTCAAAGTTTTGAATATCTTTTAAATATCAAAAAGGCCTATACCTTAATTAAATGAAACAAATTTATAATTTGCTTGGTGAAAAAAGCAAGATAATAAATTCTAATTATAATGTATGATAAATGGGATTGACAATATTTAAATTAATATAGTCTAGGCTTTCAGCCTGTCCTCCAAAGAGACCCCAAAGTCCATTCCATGCACTCGCCAAACCCCCTGTTAAGGAATGAAAAACGGTTTACAGACGACTCGTAACTGATGACATTCGAATACTTCCGGAAAAAGAGCTTCACAGACAACTTTTGTTCAAACCACTGTAAATGCTTCACCCATGTACTACAAATACAAGTAAACACCTAACCAGTGCCTAAATATGTAGAGTGGTAATATAAAATAGAAATTTATAATTGAGAAAATTCCTCTTTTGAATAAACAGCACAATAAAATTTATGAATGCGTCTTAGGGGTCGACCGCTGGATGGAATGGACTTGGTCTGAGAACAGGTTGAGGCTTTAGAAAGTGAAGGCATATGCTTGCAGAGCAGCCACAAGACCATATTGCAAGGCAGGACTGAAGCAAATGGTCAAGATTCTAGTGGTGTAAAAGAGGCACAGCCCAAAGAACCTGAAAGAACCCACCACTGGCTACTCAAGTGCTCAGGTACTCCAAAAGCCATGCCAAATGGAGTTGTTTGCAAGCCAGAAAGAAACAGGGACCTCATAACCCAACCACATGGCCAAAGCCAACCCAAACCCAAAATGAGGTAGAGTTGGGAGGAAATGGAAAAAGGCTGACCAAGGTGGAATCCTACTGAAATATGACACTTGAAGACACTAACGGTATACAAAAGTGAGCCCAGTGAGGAGCAGCCAAGAAATAGAGCTCAAACTCATCAAAGGAGCATGGGGGATATTCCCAACTTGAGCTTAAAAAATCCTGCAGAGGGAACTAGACCAGAAAGAATGAAGAGCACCCTTAGGGATCCACCTTGGGCTCCTTCCCAGGCCATGAAGTCACCAGGGCAAAGCAGAGTTCTGTGCCTGGTGCCTGAACAGGTGGGGAGGTAACTCTTAAAAATGATCCAAACCAAATACTTCGCCCAGAGAAAGAAATGGCTACGGATCCCTGGCAGAAAACAATGAATTGACTCTCGGACATTAACCACTAATGCGCAGCTATAAAATATGACGAGCTCTCGGTGCACAAGAAAAAATTATACCTTTCATTCTACATTCTGATCATGGGGAAACTTGAAAAAAAAAAAAAAGGTGACATACTCTTGCTGTAGTGGGACGAGAAGCCTGGCAATATTCACTCCCTGGATGAGGACATGCCAGCTGACAGTATGGTGGGGGCTGCCACCAGTACATTTTTTACATAATTACTTCAATGTCTTTGAATGGTTTTATATCCAAGTTATTTGCAGTAATGTTATTCGATAGTGTGCAATTTGAGGAATTTATGGTTAAATGTGTGGAACATTGCTATTCTAAAAAAAATATGGTGCTCATAGCTAGCGACACATTCTTATATCAATGAAGCTGCTTCTTGCCGTTATTAAAACACACATGCTGTATACAGTATATTGCAAGGTACGAGATTGAAAGCCGTACCCTAAAGTATCGCTAACAACACCCGTTTTTACTTTCTTATAAATAGTGGAAGTGCAGGGGTTATATAGTAATCACCAGTTCTAACTACATGGGACAAGAAATACACCTTGAGGTGCAAGTTTACAAAAAAGGATGTTATTTAACAATTACCAGATTTCCTTGCACTTCTTAGAACAAGAGGGGGGGGGGGGAGTGTACTTGGATCCACCACAGGATTGATACAACAAAAGGCGGGAGGGAGGTTCCTTTCTCCCTCTACAACCTGGGACTTAAGGTCATTACTCTATTCCACTCCTCTTAGGTCCCTACAAAGGGCCTGGGTTTACAAATGGATATACAAAATAAATGTGGATAACCCCCATGTGACACACAGCTGAGCACATACACCTGAATTAACACACCTCTCCCTACACACAGAGTTCCAAAAATCCTTATTTCCACAAATTCCTATCTCTAACTCATAAAGAAAAGGGGAAGCACCGCTATAAATATCTATAAAACTGCACTTATCGTATTTGTTGGAGACCATCCACAAAACTGGTGGTGTTCTCACTGCTTCTGTCTCCCAAGTGACTGATAGGGCCTTACACATGTCCCTGCCTGCCTGGTTCCAATAATGCCCCCTCCCTATACAGGTCATACACATTTCCCATTACTTCATTTGTATGTCTTATAATATTCCAGGCTCTTTTTCTACATTTAACACTTGTTTCTCTATATTTTCTTGCATTGAATCTGCTTTTTCTTAAAAAAATTAAACAAAAGGGATAAAATGGTTAAGAGATTACATTTTCCTGTCGAGATGATGCTCAGTGCATCTGAAAGGGGTCAGAGTTCCAGACTGTTTTTCAACATTTAACACTGCTATTTCTCCCTACACAAGGGTCTCTCTCTTACAATATTTATATTTTAATAAATACCAGTTTCTGACTCTGGTAGGCAAAACATCCATTTCATTTGCCTTTTCAGCAAAAGAACTAAAGGGAGTCACAAGAGGCTCCTCTTGAAAAAAAAAAAAAAAAAAAAGCAAAAGAACCTGAAACAGCTGCCACCTGTCATTCCTTATCACTGCAAAATAAAATACTGTACACAAAAAGCCAAAAGATGGAGGCTGTAGCTAAAATAGAGGTCCAGTGAACCCCAATCTATCCTACAAAGAACAGAATTTGCCTACGAGCAAAAAACTAAGGCCAAAAATTGATGTACATGTTGGAAAATTGAAGCGGCTCGCGAAAGTGACACAGTGCCCTGTTTTCTATTTTGGGTTCTCTGGCCTAGTCTGGTAGGTTGGGAGAAGACACTTTAAATTAACTGCTTTCTTGATGATGTGAAATCTTAGGGCAAGCCGAATATCCACCTGACAAACTGCAGTGGGAGAAAGTACAAATGACATCAGTTTGTAGCAAAACCGATGGGCATTCCCTCAAACTTGCAAGATTGGTGTGTTGATCCATAATGAAACACATTAAAGACCCATGGGGCTTGCCAGTGCCTAAAGGTAAGGAACAAGGAGGATACCCAGGCACTAGGAATGCTTGCTGGAAGGACACACTAAATGCATTTCTGTGGACAGATATTACTTTAAAGGATGTAAGGGTGTCAGCTGCATGCGAACCCTAGTGCACCCCTTAATTAATAAACAGAATACCCCCAACCACAAGGAAGTCGATGGTCCTTGTGCTATTCTGGACGAGGCATCCTACATGGTAGATTGAACTCTAGGGATAAACTCCCAAACCCCACCAGGGACGTTATCCTGTCAGGGCAGGGGCATTACTAGACAAACACCCAAAGAAGAGGCTGCTCTAATTACATGAAGCTTGAAGTGAATAGTTTCCAAAGTCCATACAAGTAAGGCTTGTAAACAAACTATTAAGACTCGGGTCATTTGACGTACAGTACCTGTATAGGAGAGTACTGTACAGTAAATTTTTTCATGCAACAAAAACCATGAAATATCCATAGTAAAGGAGTAATAGACAGAACAGTAATACAAAATTTATTTATGACAAATTTTAAATACATTTGTAACAATTTTATATTATCTTCAGAGTTGACATGTGCAGATTCAAATATATAAAGAATGGGCATAATTAGCTTTTTATAAAACTGCTGTATATTTAATAGATTGCTACCTAAGAAACATAAACTGTAATGTGCTGATAGTCTGTTTTTCTGGCTTCCTCCCACCTTCACATCTCTCTTCATAAGCATTTAACCCTGGGTATCTACTAGATTTGATTAAGTTCTTACAGACAAAATATCTTCAATGAAGTCTATGCTCAACTTTGTTTCTTTTCATTAGTGCTGTATATCAAGATAGTTGTTAAGTCAGAAACTAATATAGTGCTAAATTTTCTGCATTATGTCCTTTCCCTTGGGCAGCAGTCATCGTAAAATGTTGATTCAAAAGGCAATGCTGTTATCGCCACAAGACAATTTAAAACAATTATTGTCTGAGTTTTACATATATGATGCAAATATGGATATAATAGCTCTCTGGATATAAATAAATAGAAACGAGTAATAAAACAGTTAGTGAAACATCCAAGGATAACACAGGAAGCGTAGGCAAAGTTGAGCACCAGGTGTTGACAGGTGCTGGACACAGCCACCACACACCCTTCCAGAGTGCCTCCACCCAGTGAAATGAGAAATGTTAACTTATTTTCATGTTTTCTTAAATTTTTCATACAAATTAATAATTCTATAAAGAAAGATTTTTAAGCATTATTGTTTTAATTTTTATGCATAGGCAGTATGACAATTTTTCCATAGCCACTGCCCAAGGGTTAATGGTAGTATTATGTTTGATGGCTGAAAATTTTATGCACTTTCTTCTAATGTTCTTTTCATTAAGAAGTGTGATGTCCTTAAAGTTCGCCAGCTATTGCTCCTGGCTTCTGAGTAATATATGCATTCTTATTGTAAATGCTTCACAATTAATTATGTTCATAAGCCTTTCATTTAAGTTTCTGAAAGTTCTCCAGAGTATACTATATAGTCACAATTACTACAACATACTGCATACATCATTGCTGTAGCGAGTTTTTGTTACGAGATCTGCTTCTGACAAGTGTGTGTGTGTTCATTGTAGTGGATGCTCTGGACTGGTCTCAGAACTAAAGATATCATGATCACCATAGCAGGGGTGTACAAACAGTGCATGACAGTAATTGTGACAAAGTATGCTAACAATACTGCATCACACACAAACCACAAGCTAAGTCTTGTGAACTTGATGGCTGCCAAACTTATTAAAGTAGTAAACATTAGAAGAAAGAATAACAAATCTGCAGCCATCAAACAGTCTAGAAAAGGTCAATATTGCTGCCCCATTCCAAAATTACTACTAGATTTATATACTGTAGTCTGAAATATTAAATACCTCACCTTTTCACTTTACAAGTAATTGCCTGGTGTATCTTAAATTTTATACAACTCCTAAGGGTGATACTCTCTCATCTTGGTGTGTTAACATTTTAGTCAGCACTTTGTGCTCTGTTCAACCAAACAACATTTTACATGAAAAATCATTTCCTGGCACTAATATATTACATATTTGATATAAGAGTCTTGTAACAATGAGCCAGACTGTTGCATAAAATACTCATACAATAATGAAGAATGGAGTAGAGTATTATAAGTATTTGATTGATAAAATAATACAACCCATAAAGCAAGAGGAGCAAGTAATAAGCTTCATGAAACATCCACCATAAAGACTTTGGCATCAAGTTTATCTTTATAGTTTCATAAAATTGATTCATATAACTTGTTCCAAGAAGTATTTACATTAATAAACAATAAACAAAATAGGAAGCTAAAGGTATTTTGTATAATACAGAGTGTAAATCAAGATAAATTAAATAAATACACAATAGTTTACACAATGTAGTTACCTGAAGAACACGTTTTAAGATTGAGTAAAGCAAAGTAATTTTTAAAAACTAATTACATAATACTGTATTAGAATATTTACCACAATAGGCTACATAAAACCAGCATTGAATAATTAAATTACTTTCTGGATGAGCCCCAATGGCTCCTTTAAGCTATCTTGCTGAGATGGCTCCCAACTGCAAGGTTACATCAGTCGTGAGTTCTGTTTGGCCTTCTGGGGACCAGAGCCACAACCTGGGCCCCCCTCACAGAAGTGAAGAGAGCAGGTGACACTCCACTACCCCACTGGGATATCATTCAGAAGTCAACAAACCAATATAGACCACTGCTGGGTTCAAAAGAACTGAAGCCTCAAAACTGCCAAAAAAACTCGCAACCAATGTAAACAAATGATCGAATCTCTCGAAACTAACACGAACTTGTTAGCACTAACCACCCCACCAGTAACAGGGAAGGGGGATGGTGGCCCAGAGCACTAACCTTCCAAGCCAGTTCTGGAGCATATGTAAAGACCACAAACAATAACCAGTGAACCTGGAAGGGAGGAATGGAATCAGAAAGCCACCAGGACTCGCCCAGAAAGAGGAGTTTCGTTACATTCCAAGCTGGTCTTTTGGGGTGAACCCCTTGTGGCTTCCTGAAGCTAGCTACCCATGGAGAAGAAACACAAGGGACTTACCAGGGAGGAGAGATGGCATGTAATCAGGATAAAGCAGAGACAACTGGACAAGAGAGATGACCCAAGGCAACACAGGCATGATGAGACCAGGCCACCAAACCCTCACCCCCATAATGGCAAGGGGGGGTGTTTGTGCTAACAAACTTGTGCTAGTTTCGAGAGATTTGATTGTCTCCATTGTTTGGAGAATTCCTTTGGCAATTTTGAGGGTTTGCTTCTTTTGAACCCAGCAGTGACCTATATTAGTTTGTTGACTTTCTGAATGCTTTCCTGGTGTGGTGGCATCTGCTCTCTGCTTCTGTGAGGAGGCCAGGTTTTGGTTCTGATCCCCCGGTAGGCCAAACAGAACTCCATGGGTGATGTGATGTGACCTAGTCAAAAGCCATGTCAGAGAGATACCTTCAGGGAGCCACAAGAAGCTCCTCCAGAATTTTTGGGTATGAAACTACTGTATACAGTATGTATACAGTAGTTTCATACACACTGTACATACTTGCATACTGTACTTTTGTTGTGAATATAAAGAGATAATGCTGCAAAATAAATTTTAACTTTGATTATCACTCATAGATAATGGGTTTTTAAAATCTCAACTTGGGTAAAACAATTCTAGAGCAAACTGCATATTTTTGTGTTAGTATTAGCCTGCTGTGGTCTGCTACAGCTTCCTGTCTGCCCTCAGGAATTTCCAACATCTTGTGCATTACCATTCATGGCTGGATCTTTCTCTCCCTCTAAGTAAAAAATAAAATATATAAATTTAACAAATTAATACTGTACAGTATAAGAATAAATATTGTATTATTTTAGCCTATTATAATTTTTATATCATTTGCTTAATGTCTTCTTGTGGGTAATCATTTTTAGATTTCTTTTTCTTTTATGAGATGCAGTAGTGTAGTGTAAAAATATCTACACAGCATAACATTAATGAGAAAGTTCTGCAGTTGTCATTGCCTTTATAATTTCAGTGGAGTGAAAAAAATAAGTTTCAACCGAATAATATTAAGAATACCAACAATTTAAAGATGGATTAATATGAATCAAAGAAATAATTAGAATATAAACTTATTATGCAAACTTAACACTTTCGCGCTTTGGGTGAGCGAGTGCCAGAACACCCCAAGGTGGGTTGGACATTCCACGTGAGAGCACGGTAATACTGAAAAGTGTGTATACTCTTAAATTTTGTCACCTTAATTCTCATCCTAGGTTTTTTATTTTGGTATCAATGTGTTTGCAATAGAATTCCTACAGGAGTATATGCATATAAAGTTCAAAAGCCCGGCGTACCACCTGCACCAAACTGAGAAATTGGCCGCGAGTGCACAAGAGCAATAAAATGTGTGTACTCCTTTCACTTTGGTCACCTCAATTATCGTCCTAGGTCTTTCATTTTGGTATCAGTTCGCAATAGAAGTCCCTACAGGAGTACAGTGGGGCCTCAACTTACGATGGTAATCCATTCCCAGAGATGGATCGTAAGTCGAAGCTATTTTTCCCATAAGAAATAAAGGGGAATTGAATTAATCCGTTCCCCACCCTCCAAAATATTAACTTACAAATACATTTTATATAGAATACAATGTTTTTTTCTAACTACAATACAGGACATAAGTTTATTTTACCTTTATGGAGGTCTCTTGATGGCATATGGAAGATGGTGATGAGGGGAGAGGATGAGAGTTGTTACTGTTTTAAAGGGGAGTCCCCCCTTCCATTATAACATCAGGCAGTGATGACTTTTCTGGGGTACACTCTCTTACGTTTTGCCTGCATACCACTAGGACCTAGTTGTGATTCACTGCTTGTTTGTCTCACTAAAAACCTTTCCAGAGATTGTTGTTTTCCATGTTTTAATTTTTGTCTGTAGTGAGGCATCACAGTGTCATTAAAAAGGTTAAGGCAATGGCCTACTGCAACGTGATTTGGGCGAGTCGTTTCAGCAAAAGTTTGCAATTCTTCCCATGCTGCACACATTTTCTGAATTAATGAGGAAGGGACATTCTGTACTGTCTCCTCCCCCCCTGAAGAAATTTTCTCAGCTGTCTCTTGTTGTTGCTCCTTGTGAAGTTCTTCGGTGGTCAGTTCTTCGCTGTGTTCCTCCACCAGCTCGCAACATACAACACTCAGAGCACTATGAATGCCTCTTCTTTTTCTAAATTTCTCAAACCATCACCTGCTCGCCTTAAACTCTTTCGCATTTGCATCACTCGTTCTAGGGGGTTTTCTTTAAAAGGTCTTCATGCAATTTTCTTGCCTTTTCACAAATGATGGCCTCTGAACCTCTATCACCCGCTAACTCTTTGCTGTGTATCCAAATTAATAATAACTGTTCAACATCCTCAAGTGTTTGTGTTCTATGTTTCGTGATTATTGATACGCCTTTTGCCACTTTAGCACTCATAATGTTCTTTTTCTTAGCCAGTATGGTGGATATCGTTGACTGAGATTTGTTGTACTGCCTAGCTAGTTCAACAACCCGCACACCGTCTTCATATTTACGAATGATCTCTTGTTTCTGCTCTATGGTCATCCTTACATGGGTTTTCATATGTTGAGCCTTATCACTGACTTTCCTGGGACTCATGGCGTGATATATAATAATTACTTTAATGTTCAAAATGCAAAAAATCACCACAAAAGCGGAATTTCTTATAGGCGCGATCGTCACTAAGCGGGCAGCTGTAGTAAACTGAGGCAGGTCGGCCGCGTGACCGGGAACTACGCGCTCGGTCGACCTGAATATGTACAGTACCAACAAATATCGTTAGTCGACAACACCATTGTATGTCGAGTTGCATTTTTCGATGAAATTTACATCGTAACTCGAAATTATCGTAAGTCGAGGTGCCACTGTACAGTACATGCATTTAATGTCCAAAACTGTGGCGTGCCCCACCCGCAGCCAAGCCAAAAGCAAAACTTTTTTTTCATTTTTTGATGCACCGATGCATCATTCCCGCACATTCGTCTAATAAATTTTTGATGCCATACTGCGTCGTCCCCACGCGAAAGTGTTAAGTTCTAGGATTACAGTATCACGGATATCTCTGCCTCCTCTCTACAGACCCTGAAAAATAAAATGATTGCAATGAAAAAATTGGACAACATCCCAGTAGCAGGCCACAGGGGCCAACTCTGAGGACTTCCAGCCAATTAATATGCAGCGAACGCCTCACACAGGCAAATTTAGTCGTAAACCGGCAGCCGTCTGAAAAACCTCCAACTAGAAGGCAGAATCTCTCAAAGCAGAGATCCGGTGAGAACATGCCTCACAGAACTCAGGGGTCATAAACATCACAGACCCAACAGGCAGCATGGTGGGGGCAGAAAGAATGATAATTGTTAAGTAGCAAAAACAATAATAAAAAAAAATCCCTTAAATGTGCAAACAGTGATACCAGGCTTGCCACGGCCCCTCCATATGAACCACAACAGAGACCATTGGAGATTTCCACCACCAACTGTAACTTAACCACTAGGAGGCAACCACATTGTGCTATGTAAACAAGCACGCAAACCCCCCAGTGCGCCAAAACACAACTAAGGAACACTCCTAACTGAAGGCCCAACAACCCAAGGTGAGGGTCCCCACCCCGGTGGACTGGCCTCACAGGTATGAACACCTGAACACACTAGAGAGGGGAACTCTGGCTGTGCAAGGGCAGTGTTAGTGGGCACACAGGGAAGACATTCCGAGTATATGCAGTTCAAAACACACAAAGATCTATGCCCACACAACAAGCCGGAATCAAAACATGCACATGATGCTACACTAAAATTGGAAACAATACAACAAAGTAATCAGCCCCTCATAGAACAAGCAAGTCCATGGATGGCCAGCACTTAGCTTGACGTTCTGGGACCTGTCCACGAGCTGGCATGACCAGAAACACTAAAAGTCAGTGTAGTTACACTAACATCAGAAACAGAACTAGCTAAGGGAGCTGGCAAGGAGCCGGGGCTGATCCGCCTGGTGGTGGTAATCGGTATTAATGAGTCTCACTCGTTTGAGTGAATCCCTTATTCCATGTGACTCATTTACAGTAATTGTTTGGCAGTTTTTAGAGGGATTTATTTTCTGTGACACACTAACCATCTGTGAAGATGTGCTTTACAGATTTTCTTGAGGCATTTTCTGGCAAGATGGCAGATTATCATCTGTTTTCTTCCTCTGTGAGAGGGGTAAGGTTCTGACTGGTCCCCAGTAGGCCAGAGTTATCCACAGCTTATGTGACTAACACTTTTAGCACTTAAGAAAAAAATTACATTGAGTACTGTACATATATATATACACACACTACAGATTCTAAACCACATTGTAATTTTACCTTTGTTATCAACAAACTTAAGGGAGTGAGAAAATATTCAGAAGCGTGACGTCTTTCCATCAGGGCCATCCTTCAAGAATTCATGTCCCAACCCACTGCCACACTTCCCACACGATACCTATAAAATAAAATACACACTATAGTTACACATGTTAATATAAGTTACAAATTGGTATGTTAACCTTTGCACAAACACCATTATCATTTAATTGACCAGGCAGCAATTCACATTTAAGTTCTCTCTCACACACCTAAATATATTTTTTAAACTAGTTTAAAAGAGGCTACTTTGCCTCAGTAGCTCCCTTGAGTTTACTTGATAAGTAATGGCCTCCCATACAGTGTATAATACAACCTGTGACCTTAGGAAATCTTCGCTAAGTAAAATATGGCTTTCGTATGACGAAACACAAAAACGTGCACAATATCGTGTACAGTACAAAACTTTATGTAAAAGTGCTAATGAGCTTCAATCAAATATACAGAACACATTTTCCAAGAATAAAGAAAAGGCAAAGACAATAAGGTACATCCTCCAGAATAAACTAAAGTAATGACTTACATTTTATATACTGGTGTATGTATTTATGTACATATTACCAAATAGGCCAAATTGCCCAAGAAGCCAAATTTTCCTGAAATATTATATTTTCAATTTTTTTTTCTTATGGAATTATAAAGTTTTCCATTACATTATACATGATTTAAATTTCTTTTTACTTTGAGTCAAAACTTACATAGAAATGTGATGAAACCTAACCTGGCATAACTTGTCAGTAAATCAAGTCCCTAACATAAATGTATTATTATTGTTAGAAAAGAACCAATTTGAAAATAAATATTTGAAAATAACGACTATCATTGTGTCTGTTAGGCAAATTGTACTTTGCATACTAGGCCAAGTAGTGCAGGTTCTAGCTATTAGGTACAACATACATACATAGATATATACCAGTATATGCATACATGCAACAATGATCACCAAACAGTAATCAAAGTGTGCAATTTTCTGCATATACTGTACATACATACATACACTCATACTGTATATACATAATACTATACAGTATAATTAAGCCATCTAACCTTAAGTGCCCCAGGTCGACCATCTTCAGGAACCTTGGTCACCGAGTCCTTGTAAACAGTGTGAGTGAATGCTGGCCAAGGGGTGTTGTGCTCATACTTAGCCCGGCTGGAGAACAGCTTGTAACCACACTCTACACACACGTACACACCTGCAATCACCCTAATTGTTAAGTACACAACTGCAACTTTTGTAAGCCCCTTACCTTCCTTATCCATCACGATACAGGGGGGAAAATCTCAAGCAAGATCCCAAAATAATACTGTATGGTGATGTTACTAGTATCAGTAAAAATTAATAATGCAGTACTGTAATGCACTCATACTAGTAACTTAACCAAACCACAATTAATTCCATTTTAATGCCCTTTTACTACTGGTATCAATATTCATTAACTATTTGTTAGTATAATTTGGGTTGAAAATAAATTCTCAATTTATCTATTCAGACAGTACTTCCATTGAAAATTAAGAAGCACAAAATTGGCATAACTATGAATGACAAATACAAAAGTGATAGATTAAATAATTCTTCAAAATTAACACAAATTATAAAAAACTTGTAGAAATCTTTCATTATATAGTAAAATGGCAGCACCAGCTGACTGTAGCTGGGCAGTAAATTTCTGAGCAGAGAAATAGAAAATGACTTCCAGGGAAATGATAAACCTCGACATGTAACTCCCATGCCTTGTCCTCATGGAACAAGACAGGAGCCTTGTTGATAATCAGTAAAAAAGAACTCCACAAGGTATACACTAAACACACACAAAACCTCTTTTCACCTTAGGACCTGGGAGCAACAGGACTGTTAAAACACCCCATTCCCCTTAAAAAAAAAAATCCACAAGCCAGTTGAGGACAACCTCACACTGCAGTCAAGAAGTGACATGAGATCCATGAACAAATCCACAAGGGCCGTGACAAGGATTCGAACCTGCATCCGAGAGCATCCCAGACGCTGTCTTAATCGACCGAGCTACAACATGGTCAAAAGGAGTTGAAACCGAAGTTCTACTGAACTTACTGGATCCTGCAGCCTCTCCGAGACACAATCCAGGGTTTTACACAATTCCCCCCATAAAAAACCCTGGTTTGTGGCTTTGGAGAGGTTGCAGGATCCAGTTAGTTCAGTAGAACTTTGGTTTCATCTCCTTTTGACCATGTCGTAGCTCAGTCAATTAAGGCAGTGTCTGGGATGCTCTTGGACGCAGGTTCGAATCCTCGTCACGGCCCTTGTGGATTTGTTCATTTGATGCATAACGCAATTGTGATTTCTGTGTGTAATGAGATCCATACTCAACAGCACCAGGTCAACATAGGATTCACTTCCCAGGTTGATGCTTGGGGAGCTACTGAAGAGTTCCTCCCAGTTAATAGCTAACAGCTGTCTTTGCCTGAAAATTGTGTATGCAGACTGGAGGAAGGGGAAAACTCCAAATACATACATTTTTTTGTTTTAAAGTTTTTTATGCTGTAGGGTTAACCTTTCTTATGAAACGAGAATGGAAACACCACTTAAATTATATTTTATATTTATAGCAGAGCTTTATCTTACATCAAATTACATCTAAGTATGTTTCCAGTTTATTACTGCACTGTATCTTACTACAGTACTGTATATACAAATCTTTGACAATAAAAACTAAATAAATAAATAAAAAAATCGGGTAGAACAAAGTACAGTATCTGCAATCATAAATAGCTGCCAATTAATAGTGAGGAAATCACACAGACATTTAAGTGGTTTGTTTAACCAAGTATAAAGTGTTTAATTATAATTGCCAATATCTGAAGTGATGAGAGCTGATGGCTTTTACTAATGGAAAATGGATCTCTTGCAATTAGATTCTCTACCCCACATTCAGTTAAACACACACACACTGTTTATTGGTTAGTTGAGATTTTAAAAAACTAAAAAGATAAGACAACCAGTGAAGCGTAAAATAAATATTAATATGAACCAGAAGAGGAGGGGTTCCATAATATAATCAAGATGCATTTTAACATGGGAGCAACTACCAATATGATAAGTTAAATGAGTGAATTGAAATGCTGCTGCAGTAGTACAAATTCTGCAAAGTAGGCCAATGTGACAGTGTCCTGTTTTTTTCTGAAAGCCAGTAACTGACATAAATATTCCATGAATATAAAACAAAAACTAAAATACAGAACTAGTACAAGCAAATGGCCCCTGCCAGACAAAAACCTGTGTCAAGGATGGTCAACACTTGCCTGAAAAACCAAGACTTGAAGAGTGCTGTGGTGGGAAGGAGTGTGTCAACAATGTCTTATTGCACCGCGGCAGAGGAAATGACAAGCTGCCTAGTCGAGAGATTGACAAGCTAAGCACATGGCAGTGTGCAGGTGTATTAGTGAGTGAACTGCTTCACGAATAGATGGTTCACTATTTGAGGTCTCCTTTTCTATTTGTTTACCTTGCCGATTGTCTGCTTTGGCTTGCCCACCTTTCTAGTAGCCTTTTCCTGTTAGGGTTATCTAGTATAACCCCAATTCCTTGTGCCTCTATAGAGGGAGCCAGGTTTTGGTCCCGTTGTAAGCCTACCAAGAACAAGACTCGTGAGGCCCTGGCATGGACTGAATTGGGTGTAACTACCAAGGGCCCTAACCTTGATAGTTCCACTTTTATAGCCAAAAAGGAGCCACCATTGGAGCCTTCCCAGAAAATATAATCAAACAAGGTGCTGTTTTTAGTCCTCCATTATTTGTTATTTATCTTTACTCATTGTTGAAAGATTAAAGAACCAAAAGAACTGGTTGTCATAAAAGCAGTACTAAGGCCAATGTTTTCTATTATTCTGATGATCTGATCTAGTTTTATTCGCACCAACCACAGATGCTATGGAAAACAATAGAAATTGCTGTAGTGTACATGTATATGAAATAAATGCTGAATACAACCTAATGTTCAATCCTGTCCAATGTACTGTAGTTGCTTTTAACATATTTGTTTTATCCAAATCCTAAATTAATGTTACTAGACAGAGATTCTGGTAAAGTATTCTGAAAAGCATCTGGGGCATATTACAGTACTGTATATCCTCAAAGGGCTTACTTGTCAATTTTTTCTGATCCTATCAGATATCTAAAAGTCAGAATAAATATTACGAGTGAATTTGGTTATTGTCAAGGGTTTGGATATCATTCATAAAAAAAGCATTTTAAGTTATATTGAAATCAGATCTATGTTGCTTGAACTGTGTGTTCAGTGATTTTGATCCAGGAATAGCCCCAGAATCTGTCGACACAGAATGCTGAGGGTGTTTAAATTTATAAAACTTCTTAGTATGATTACTTTATATTAGTTTGCCTTCAAATTATCTTGTCCTAATTTTGAGATGTAAATTTTGCCAATAATCAACTCGCTATTCAAATGAAAACTATATACTGCTTTAACTGATATACAGAATTACCTTGTAAATTGTAAGCTAATTGTTACTCAATTTATGGCAAAAATTTAAGTCTGGTTTAAACTGCTGTACACCTGTTAAGTCTAGCCATTATTATAATGACTTTTGTAAGTTGTTACGAATAAAGTTTCTATTTTCTAATTTACCTAGTTACTCCTTATGAGTTTTAGGTAGTCATCAAAATTGGATGCAAGTCACATACTGTATTAATGATTTTAAAATTTAAGATTCATAAGTGTATGGCCAACATATGCAATACAATATAGAAAGCCTATACAGTAGTATGGATGAATTTAACTAAAAACAAAATACTGTACAATATAGTATTATGCCAAGGTAAATAAAAACTTAATGTTTAATCACTTATAAAAACTTCCATATTCAGGTTCACTTGGCAAAGCTGTACGTAAAAGCTTTAAAACAAACTGCACCCAAAGAGTTAAGCTCATGCAACTTAATACAAATTAATATCCTGTATATCTACTTTAACAGAGTATCAAAAAAAAAAAAAAATCATGCTCTTGGTTCCAATGTAATGGCCACTCATTTTATAGTACAGTACTGCTTACATGCACATTGATGTACAAAGATAACAAAATAACTTACAGTACCTTATATGCAAATTTGCTCTCTTTTCTTTTCTGAACCGAATCACTTTTTATAGTATTAACAAATGCAGGCCATGGTGTTCCATGCTTGTATTTCATTTTGCTTGAAAATAGCTCATGGCCACATTTACGACAAACATAAATGCCTGGAATAGGAGTTACAATAACAAATATTAATTCAAGCAATAAAATATTAACTTTTGTACAGTATTTTATTTAGATACAGTATTAACATTGTAAGCAATCAGATGAATCTTTCTGGAGGAGCAGGGGATTGTTACAATCATCCTTTAAAGGAAACCTCTGGAATGTAAGCGAAGCAAAACAGGCAACTGCATGGTTCACAGAGAAACGAGAAGTAAAGCAGGAAACAACTCTACAAATGATCTACTTGGCAATCAACTCAAACCCCCTCTAGTTATAGCGCATCACCACTAGGTGGTAGCACCACTAGTTGCTGTAAACTTCCATAATGACACATTTCGATTCTTTCGCTGGTATCCACCTGTTTGGACCACTTCTTGAGTTGCCAGGTTTGGCGGGATTCAGGCATTTTTTATAAGTTGGCCATTCTTTGGATTCTGTCCTGTGGGGGCAGCCATGTTTATCCTTAGGTCTGCATTTGACATCAGTTCCTTTGACAAGTGTCCCAGTGCCTGGTTGTCCTGCATGGTCCTTACCTTCAGGCAATAGCAAGCCTGGCAGGCCTTGGGCATGGCTCATTCAGAGTCTGGACAAAATTTAGCTATAGGTGTAGCTTGGCAACCCCAGGTGGTTTGCCCCCATCCACCTTGACTGCAGAGACAGTTGAGCCATCCCCTCCTGTCAGGGATGTGGAATCTTCTAATTCTCAGGGCGTGTATGCTTAGCTCTGATCATTTTCAATGGGAAGATGTCTTCCTATTTGTGCATTATTTCAGAGGGGTTGACGAAAGGGAGGGAGGCCAAGGAGGATCCTTGAGTGCCCTTAAACACTTCCTGGTCTTTAATTCCATCTGTGGAGGGCATTTTGCTCCAGGAGCAGCATTATACCTATTTCCCAGTCTATGAGCCAAATTCTTCGGCTGCCCCTTCCCCCCAGGTTAGCTTCCATGTACCACTAGACCCCTAAGATGCATCATATATCTGGAGGCTTCCATCATCCTGCGCTGTGCCTTCTTTGGCTTCAGTGCTTAGTGTTGCTGTCTTGTTACCTGCAGTATCAACTTCAGTGGCTCTGTCCATATTGCTGCTAATGTTCCACAGGGCAGTATACTTGGCCTCTCCTCTTTCTCATCTACATTAACGACCTTCCGAATGCATCTCGACACTCAAGCCAATTTTATTTGCTGATGACAACCTTCATTTTCTCCAGTCCTAACCCTCTTATTCTGAATGACAGTGAATACTGAACTAAATAAAGGCCATCTTTGGCTAACTGCTAACAAACTCACCCTTAACCCTGATAAATCCCTTCTGTATTTTGTTTGGTAATAAATCCACAGGTCAAATTAATCCAAGAGTTAACAACATCCAAATTCATAACACAGATGATGATAAATTCCTTGGTGTTCTCACTGACAAGTTGAATTTCCAGTGCCACGTACAAAATACTGTTCAGCTAAAAAAATTATAAAATGGCATTCTTTCTAAAATCAGATGTTATGTACCTCGCTTTGCACTGGCAATGCTTTACTGCACTCTCATCTATCCTCATCTCAATTATGGTATCTGTGCCTGGAGTTCTACTACCCAAAATTATCTATGCCCTCTGATTACTCAACACCAATCAGCTATTAGAACAATAACAAACTCAAGCCCCAGACAGCACTCTGGCTCTATAATTAAATCTTTGAATATGTTATAAGCCACTGCGCATCCTCTCATGTGTATTCAAAATAAATAAAAATATAAAAATAAATATATACAGTATATGTATATATGTATATATGCTAATCCCAACCTTAAACATTTCCTAAGAGGGCTGTAACAGAACACATCGCCACCACACTAGAAACACATACTGTACGTACATTAAACATACATTATTTGCATGTATCACATTATTTGTATGTACAGTATCATTGAATGTCTCATTTTTAATGTGTTATTTGTATGATACATTATTTGTACGTATCATCACTCGACAAAAATCTGCTATCAGAATTATAAAGCTCTGTCTACAGACAACACACAGCCTCTGTTCAAGTCCCTTACTTGCTAAACACACACACACTCCACACATCCTCATGCGTTATTAAACATGTACAAAACCTTGTTCCTAAATGCTAATCTTGATCTGAAACTTTTCCTTGATAGGTGTAACAGAATCCATGAGCACCACACCAGAAATAATTATCTCTTTGATATCCCCAGTCAAACTAAATCTGTGCAAACACTCCATGCAAATAAAAGGACCCAGTCTTTGGAACTCTCTACCTGACGAATTAAAAAAAAAATTCCAACCTATGTCCTATTCAAAAGTAAAACCAAAATGTACCTAATTTCATCCTCATAGTTTTCTACCTTGTGCTTCAAATTCACACTGTATCTTGTACTACCCACTTCCCCAATATTAGTACTTAAGACATATATCTTTACCAGTGTAATCACTTCCGTCAATTTATATTGTATACTGCATATTATATTGTAAAACTGTTGTTATGTGCTGTGTAAAAATTAAAAAAAAATTGCATTCTGTTTACTTAGTTAGAATTACTGTACTGTCTGCTGTTCTGTTGCAATTTTGTATGTAACATTCACCATGTAATTATTGTAATTTTTTTTAATTCAGTTTATTTTTTATTTTGATCTCAATTAGTTTTAAATGTTAGTTTAAGATTTTTTCAACATCATGACCAAAATACTGTGTGTATTAATTGGCTTTTGGCATAGCAAATACTTGCCCCTACCTAGAAATCTAACATCCTTTTTTGTATGTGCAGTATGTACTTTTCCCTAAATAAATAAATGTAGACAATCTACCTGATAATGGTCCAGGACAGACCGAAATGTCGTTGTCTCCTTATGTTCTGGTGTGTGGTTTAGTCCTCAATTAAATATTTATTATTATTATTATTATTATTAATGCATAGGTTTATGTTTTATCAAGTACCCATCAGTTAACTTTGTAAGGTTTACTTGGAACTAAGCCAAGGATGTTTCCCCAGTTAATATCAAGGTTATAGGCAATAAGTTAAATTTAGAGGCACATACAGTAATTTGATACTTCAGAATGGACCAAAATGTTACCGTTTCTTCTTTTTCGCGGAAGAACCACAAAATGGCCTTTTGGTAGTGCTGGCAGAAGTATACTGGTAGTTGTAGCCAACGTAGCTACAGCTGTAGCATAGTACAGTGTAGTAGCTAACAGTAGCTACAGTAACTGTAGCTGTAGCATGCATTAAACTGGTAGAAGCTATTTATAACTTATCTACAGCTACAGCTATTTATAACATTATGAATGACAGTAGACTTCAGGTGAGGGATGGATTTCTGGGAGTTGGAACATGTACAAATGGACTGATTCAAAATCCACACATCTGAAAAAGAAGAAACGGTGACATTTTGGTCCATTCTGAACCATTACTGTATTAAGTTGTATTATGACCCCATTATATGACTTGATAATGCTCCAGGATGGACCAAAACATTGTCGTTTCTTCATTTTCAGATGTGTGGGTTTTGATTCAACACTTCACCCACAATATTGTGACTTATCATCTACCTACAAGTGGATTCTTTAATAGTGCATCTATTAGAATATTGATGGTAACATCAATATTAAAGATTAACCAGAAAGATGAACTACCTGAAAGATTTAACATATACCTGTAGCCAATGTTAAATTTTCCATTACTACAGGATTATACGATTAGAAAAAAAAACTCCAGGGCCATTAAAGCGCTCCTAGAGTCAACAACAATTAATGGTCATTGCCTCGAGAGGAGGACAGAAGCTATCCCTGAGCATATGGTTCTTGTCTCAGAAGGAATGGGCATACAAGTGTTGCCGAAACATTTAAAGGAAATGACAAATCAGGACAAAAAGGAGGGTAAAAACCTTCACTTTACAAGTTAGGGTTGTGCAAAAAGTAAAAACCTTGACTCAGCACAAAGGTAATGCAAGGCCTAGATGTGAGAATAACTAAATAATCATAGAGACTTCAGCAGGTATGCATTTTCACAGTAAAATATTGGCAATATAAAACCCATATAAGCATATGGGTTTGGAATGAATAAGTCATACCATTCACAAGATAGTTCAACAGAATTTAAGACTTACCCAACCCATCAGAGCTTAACACAGCCTAACATAGGCTAATACATCCAAACCTAACTATATACAATATTTGGTTTTGACAATTAGAAAATTAATTTTATCGAAATGCCTGTGTACGATTGGACCATACCCCTTTTGGTACAGGTGCATTGGTTAAAATGCATTACAATCATGAATTGGAACACTTGACATTTTGCATGGACCCTCCGAAGGCAATACAAATTGCAGAGGCCTCACACTAACACTATTGTACATTTTTGAATGAGCACATAGATAATGGCATGAGCATTATGGTACTAAAATTAACATGACTGTGGATGGTTAAGTTTGGTTAATTGCTATACATGTTAGTGGCCCTACAATAATGTATGAAAGTTATGTACTCTCACAAACCCAATGTACTTCTTTTATATAGATAAACACATAAATAATTAGGTCAAGCAATGCTATATATCCTCGTATCACGAAAACTGGAATCAAGAGCTTTTTACACAGAACTATTTTTAAGTTGCATATATATCTTTTACAACTTTCTTAGCCTCCTATACAATTTAGATTGTCCTTAACATAGGCCTACTAACCTGGCTCAAAATGGTCCTTGTATACTTCATCCTTAAACCACGAGCAAAATGCCATAACTATAGGTTGATGCGCTGTCTTGGCAAGATTTCTCCTCCTTGATGTTCCTTTGTCGTGTGGTCTATGGCGTCCTCAGAAGATAACAGCTTCCTGTAGTGTGGTGGTGGTGGCCGGCCTCAGGGGTCCTGCCTCAGGGGTCCTGCCTTAGGGGTCCTGCCTCAGGCGTCCGGCCTCGGGGGTCCGGCCTCGAGGTTTGGTCGTTTCCCACACGAGACGATTCCACCACGCTCGTTTTCCATTTGTTAAAAACCTAGCAATTTCTAGCATATTTTCTACCATAAAAAATTTCTATCATATTGTTATGCTAAGGTGTATTGGCTTATGCTGTATTGGGTTGGGTTGGATTAGGTTTGGTCGATTTGGATTGGGTTAGATTGGGCTGAGCTAGATTAGGCAGTGTTTCAAAGTCCGATGGCTAATCGTCTTTTGTACGATGTGACTGCTCTTTCAGATTTCAGTACTTACATTTTCTTTTACGCAACATTACTTTTTATTTCAGAATTTAGAATACTGCATTATAATTTAATATGTTCATCCAATATTCCCTCCCATCTCACAGGATGGTTAGTCTCTATAGATATATGACGGTCTGAAAGCATAGTGGTTCCAAAAATAATCTACCTGTAAATAAATAAATAAACCTTTGTCCTAAACAGAGTGCATTCTAAAGTTATAACTCTCGTATTATAAATAAATTTAGGTAAAGTGAAGTAAATCCAGGGTTTAAAATAGTCTATGACTAACTTATCACTCTCTTTGATAAGCCCTGAACCTTAATTTTCTTTAATGGAAAATTCTAGTGGGATACTCAAATAATTTGTGAATTTCACTTTTGAGAATAATACTGTTTTAATCTAACCAAACTATACCATGAATAATGCTGTTTTAATCTAACCAAACTATACTATGAATAATACTGTTTTAATCTAACCAAACTATACCATGAATAATAGTTTTAATCTAACCAAACTATACCATGAATAATACTGTTTTAATCTAACCAAACTATACCATGGACAGAGAGCAGATAATAGCAGTAGTTATTGGTTTTGAAGTGCTTACCATGAGGGTAAATATCCTAAACCTAAAAACCGGTGAGTGGCTACTCATACTAATTGGCATCATAACGCAATGCATTGCGTTAAACACAGTGCGTATACAAGGCTTCAGGCATTGTATGCACTAGCTCTATCTAGTAATTCAACATTATGCTTGTAACATCTTGTATGTCTGTACTTTTACCTGAATAAACATTTGATTTGATAACTAATTGTACTACCAGAATCCCGGTAGTACAGTATCTAGACAATCCAGGTGGTTTGAGGGAGGATGAAGTTGTTTATGGTGATCGATTTGCTTTAAGGACGAGCTTCTTTATCAGCGATCGAGATAGCTACAAATACCCATGGAGATTCAGGACATCCTTTAACGACAGTAGAGCCCCGGTATTGCAAAATCACTGGTACCGAAGATTGACAGCCTTGGCCACTGCTCGAGATTAGAAACAATCAGAATAGATCCCACATCGGGTTGGGAAAACTAAATTTTTCAGTTTTTTTTAACTATTCTAATTGCATCCGCAGGAGAGAGGAAGGTTGACTGCTCACTTGAGACTGTTCAGAAAGTCTCAGCTGCATCTGAATACAAATGCTAAATCAACCCAGTGGGAGTGGTTACTATAGTTTATAGCAGGCTGTACACTCGTCTCGACTTTTTGGTTGCCTTTTATTTTAGGGGGGGGGAGGGGGAGAGTAAAGAGGAAGGAGAGGCATAGGTGAAGGGAAGTATAGAAGTGGGAAATACAGTGAGGTATGAAAGCAGACGGGCTGTCCGCCTTGCTGACTTCTGGTTGCTGCTGAAGATTCAGTTACTCTGAACTAAAGTTCTAAGTAGCACGGGCTATGGAGAGCCAGTAGTGGATTTGTCAGATTGTTGCCATTTTGGATTTGATTCCATCTACACCTGGATCTGTTCCTTTACTTTAAGCATCTATGGGTGTTGGGATGTTTAATTCTATCGTGACAACCGATGCAAAATTAAGTCATCAACGTTGGCTGCCCGTTTCATACAACCTGGATGGCCTCATCTTTCAAGTCATAGTTTTTACGAATTATATTGACATTCCTTTTAATTGTTACCGCTGGGCTGACAATGACCCATTAATTTATTAGAAACCAGAGTATACAAGGACAGTGTGCTTTAGCTTTTTGATAGGCATGTAGGAATCATGTAAATGCATTTCAGACCATTGGTGGATAGTAATGTAACTTTTTTCACATTTGAATCTTGCACTAAATATTTTAATAAAATAATACACAGCTGTTTTGAATCCATGAGATCACTAATTTTATGTGCAAATGTTCTAATAAATTCATTTCCAGGGGGACTTTTAAAACTAATGTTAAATATTTTCTAGAGGTAGATATAGTAATTTAATTATCAAAAGCACCAAGCCTAGAACACTCCATGCGTGTCGCTGGATATTCAAAGGTCACCAAATGTTAGGATCCTAACAAGATAAATTTTGCCAACCAACTACCAACCCTAGTAAGTACTGTAGTAGTATGTCCCAGATCCGCGGGATGTCATCGGTAACGTTCTGCCATTGTAGTCTTCTCTGCGAAGAATTTCAAGGGCACTTATCTATTGGTCACCTTACCCGATACGAGCCCTCTTTAGGAAAGGGGCAACCCACTCAATGAAAGGGTATATTCCTACTTTGATACAAGTAACTTTAGAATGAACCGAACAAATGTTGGAGTCATTTACATTGTTATAGCAGGGTCATTAAAATTAGTAACTGTACACTTTGGAACTCCATGAAACAATGATCTAAATCTAATTTACCACTTCACCCAAGTAGTCTGGCCAAAGGCCAGGCTTTACCTGGGTGAGCTTGCTGCTCAAGTTGTTGATTGGAGCGGCCCGCAGGCCCATATATCCGTCCCAGCCCGGTTGGTCCGGCACTCCTTGAGGGGGTGAGGGGCTATCCAAATCTATTTTACTTTCTTTGTCTACGGTTGTTCACGCAATATTTCTTTGACTATGGGAGGATGTTGAACCGTGGACCTCTGATTTCTAGTTCTCAGATTGTGCTTTTAGCACCCTAGCTCTTCACTAGTCTTCTGCATTTTTTCATTTAGGTCATGTCAAGGTTATTTTACCGTGTAGGTTTGGACCTGGCCCTTCAGTAATTTACCTTATTTCTAGCGAGTACATTTAGATCTCGGTAAGTTACGCGCTTTAGTGCGGCTATGTTCTCTTCTCCCTATATTTCAGCAATCTCTCCTGCTCTGAAGGAGGGGGGGTTATCAAGACTGGACAGCACCAGTGATTTGTTGAGTACAATTATTGACCACCTCTAACGACAGTACAATCACAGCACACTACAGGCAAATTTTACTCAAATGCTACTTTGTATATTTTACAAATGCCCTTCCTTTATTAACCAGTGTTACCTTGCAAACTTTCATATACAAGTTTACCAAAATAAGCTGTATCACAGTAAACAGCTTGTGTGCACACAACGGTAGAGGAAGGACAAACCATGAACGTGGGATGGCAGAATGGGAAAAAGTTATTTGGGGGTATGAATATTTTAACGCCGCTGTGTCAAACGATTCACACGGCACCAGAAAAAAGGCAATTACTTCAATGTTATGATAAATTTAAAACGAATATTGCAATGCTTCCAATTTTTATTTATGAGAAGACGACACACTGAATATCAGCCTGGCGTCTACATTCAAATACAATGAAAAATTCATGTAAAGAAAAAAAAAAAACTTCTAGATGACAGAAGTTCCACAGACATTTAAGTATTTATACCACAAGTTTTAATCAACAGCTACTGTAGTTTCACGTATCGCATCTTGGCCCCACGTTACTAGCTACGTAGAACAGATCTAGGTTGGGCAAAAATAGTGGAATGTTGGAATTACAGTTGGCCACAATTTGCAACAACAATTTTTGCAGATGTCTCGCCACTGGGTTTCCCGTAGCCTTCAATCTGACGAACAACATCCATGCCTTCAGTGACTTTCCCAAAGACAACATGTTTGCCATCAAGCCAATTTGTTCTCACTGTGCACAGGAAGAACTGAGAGCCATTTGTGTTAGGGCCAGCATTGGCCATGGACAGAATACCAGGGCCATCATGAGGAAGTTGGAAGTTTTCATCTGCGAATTTTGAGCCATAGATAGACTTCCCACCAGTTCCATTGCCAGCAGTGAAGTCGCCACCTTGACACATGAAATTTGGAATGACACGATGGAAAGTGGACCCTTTGTAGCCAAAGCCCTTCTCGCCCGTACACAATGCACGGAAGTTCTCTGCAGTCTTTGGAACTACATCAGCACGCAACTGTAAACAAAAAAAAACTAATTAGTTTCCCCGTTTGTTACTTAGCTAATCTCACATTAACCAAGTTTTTTTTTTGTAGGCTGGGAGAGAAATAAGAGCACACCATTCACAAGATACTAGAGGCAGTTGAATGGATGCTCAGATGAGAGCAAGAAAGTGAACCAGATGAAAGGGGTGATATTACCCACTAAGTGGATAAAGCAATAACCTTAATTGCAAGGGGACAAGTGGGACATTTTAAACTGCAAACTGTCTCAGAAAAGGGAAGGTACTTTTGAACAATTCTAGAATTTAGTGCTCTATCCTATAGCGAGCATAGGACACCAAAGTATGCAGTGGTCATTATTACAATGCAGTAAACCAGCAGTTACAAAAGCATTTTCAACATATGAACTTCACAAAGTGGGCAAAAATAATGCACTTCAGCAAATCGCCATGGCCAGTCTTTCAACACATTGCACTGGCATGGAAAGGTTCAATTACAGTAATTGCTAATTAACTGGGGGGAAGGCTAAGTAATATTCCCCTGCTAGATAGAGAGGGGAAGGGCTAACCTACACCATGAAGTACCCTCTACCCACCAGCATTGAGATTAAAACTTCTACCAAATTAAAGATGACAAGAAAACTAACCTATTCAGTAAGCCATGCCGACTTAACTTTCAGGCAATTGTTAAAATTGAGGCAATGTTATGGCACCCACTGCCATACTATCACATGGTAAGAAATAAAAACATTCACATGTTCTCAATTTCATCATTATAACCATATTATCGCAGATATACAAACATGGCAATCTTCAAAATAAGTAACTATAGTGGCCCAGGCAATAAATTACAGTACAATGACCACTAAGCATTTAAGACCAGCCCGCCAATCCTCCTCAGAACTATTCTGAAGCTAAATCAAACATCTTTTTCTTAATGCAAATTTTAGTATTGTATATTGCAATAAAGGTTTAATCAATAAAGCACAAGAATTTATGAAACTACAAAAGGCCTATTGACCAATGAGGCAGCTTTATGTTGCCCCCACTTATTGTACTTTACTAAGTAATTCCAGCAGACTGTGGCTATAGGTATTACCAAATCAAAAAAATTAACATGTCTTACTATTATCAAGTCGTGTAACAAAATTGAGAATATGTAAGAGCAAGAAAGATGAAAGGTAAGAGAAATTTAAGGTAAATAAGGAGAAGTATCAATAAGACCAAGCTAGAAAATCGGGAAAAATAAAAATGGTAAAAGGCTAAATGGCAGGGAAAAACCTACTGGCTTACAAGTTAAAGGATAGAGGGGGTAAACCTTAAATTAGATCATGTTATGATTACATCATTTAAGCATGTACTGTTAAAGGAATGACAAAGCTATGACTAAGGTCCATGTTGGGCAAGTATCTTTATTGACAAGAATGAGTAGAGGTAGGAAAATTTTTAGAAGACCAATCTATAGGATGATTAGGTTCTAATATGACAGGATTATACCTGCAGACTTAACACTTCCTTTAATGTTATTCACTTTACAGCTAGTTTTAGAAAGGCAAGTGCTATATCAAGAGGATGAAGGGTATTGGCAAGGGGTATTAGTTCATATGTAGGGAAAGCACAGCAGTGTTACTAGTTTGGAACAAGTTTGGGATGAATTTTTTTGCTCTAGAATAGGTAGTCTAAACTAGAATGCTTAACACAAGGATGAGGGGGTAAGAAAATAATGTATATACCACTGCCCAGGCTTACAGTAAATAAACCAGACTGAACATCAATGTCTAAAGGTAATTTTTATTAACATTAAATTTTGAATTTTATTAGATTGTTAAGAGGAAAGGCTGTTAAAAATGGTCGAGACCAAGCAAAAATATCAAACTTGAAAAAGAAGGAATTTAAAGGTACTCTTTAAGGAGTGGTAAGAGGGGGAATCCACAGCAACACCAGAAGTTGAGAATTATTTAGAGGATAATGTCTGTTGGAAGCAGTAGATGAAGGCAGCTCTGTTGCAAGGTCAAACTGACCAAGATGCAACCCCACAATATTAACTCATTACCAATTTACTGCTAGGCAAACAATTAGGCAATAGAAACATGCCAAACTATTTTAGTCCAGCTCATGACTGACTAACCCAGGATTCCCAACCAACTGGAAGGGGGCAGGTACAGTATTGTTATACTGTACTGTATTTAGAAAATTTGCAAACTGATTTTAACCCTAAAACCTTACACATTTGTACTTTATATAACTATTGAGGGTGTCGTGCACAATTTAAATGTCTCGCAGCTACACATCAGCTTCCTCAGGGCTCTAGTAAACAGACGCCATTAAAAAGTGGGTAACATTCTGTACTGTATGCGAGAGCCTCACTACTGAGTGAGCACCTAAGGCTGGCACACAGCACGAGCTAACAGCACTGCTGTTTAGCTTTTGACTACAGCATTGCCTAAAAGTGTCCAAATATACATGTAACTGCTATTATTTAGTGGTGATAGTATTACAGAAGACCAAACTAAAAAAATTACCATGATTCTGGTCATTACTGCTGTGCATATTACAGTCTGAGTAATCTTTGTGTGGGAGGCATGCAGCAGTGTCTGCAAACTGTGCAGCAACCTGTTAGTCTGGACTCACCATACCAGCTTAATGGTTCGCTATGGTGAACACAAACGTAGAGATTTATGTAACACGTGTAGTGTATAACAGCAAAAGGAATATGTTGGGAGGAGCCATTTTGGTGAGGGAGGTAGGGACCATTAGCCAACTGGCAATGGTGTCTGAACTCTCCATACCAGCTTAATTGTACAGTTATGGTGAACAAAACTTGCAGATACTTACAAACTTAAGAAATAAAAGCAGTATGGTGGAAGGAGGAATGTTTGCAAATGTGGTTGGTGAGGGAGGCATTTAGGCGACATTTGCTGGCTGGTGTTGCAGCCACGCATCTTTCCGATTCGCCATACCAACTTAGAAGTTTATGGTGAACAAAACATGCAGATGCTAATACATAACCTGTGCATATTGTGTAATACCAGCAAAACTTTGCTTATTGTTTTTACGAACAATAATTGAATCACTAATATGCACACCATACTTTTGAGTATAGCAATGTTTTACACAATAAATATATCACTACGCAGTAAGTATTATTCAACTAAAAAGTCAATTGGACATTGAAATTAGATAATATCTGTGGTAACTCTCACCCGACAGCTTGGGCAGAGCCGACTGCCTCCGACATGCAACACCTCAATTTTGCCAGACTTCCTCGCCCTATTGCAGCTAAAATACATCGCCTACGATTTTCTGAGTACCTATTACTGCTAGGTGAATATAGTCCCATTAGGCAATAGGAAATGAACCCAACCATTTGTCCACCTGCAATTCTCTATTGCAAATCTAGAACAAACTCTACTACTGGGAGCCTTATGTAGTCAAGGTTTTGAAATTAAGAAACTTAAGGGTTTTACCAAGTTATGGTATACAATTAATTTGCCTCAAATGAGCCAGACAAAACTTTCCTAAACTTTAGCAACTGTTACCATGTTAACATCTTTCCTTATTTGATTTCCAAGGTACAAGGAATGGATGGCTTTTGCAATTTAAAATTTTCCATACTTGGCCAATAGTTAAAGATTTAATTATGAAAGATGAGCTAAGCTCATTCATCAACATCCTTGGGAAATGCTTTTATCCAGTTCGTCCTCCAAACAAAGACCTAAAAGTGATTGCATGCACTTACAAACCCCGTTTATGAATGAAAAGCGGTTTACACTAAAGCTGATTCCGTTCGAACCCTTCCGGAATAAGTGCTTCACTGACATTCTGTTCAAACCACAACGCTGTAAATGCTACACCCACGTAATACAAATAATTGCCTATGCCTATATTAACATAACATGCCATTATCTATATTTGAGAAAATACCCATTTTGAATGAAGAGCATGTAAAAATTTACGAACGTGTCTGGGGTAGACTGCTGGATGTAATGGACTTAGTCGAGGACGGGTTGCTTTATCTGGTATTGGACCGCTTTTAATTTTTTTGGATATAGGTAGAAAGATCTTAGTATTCTACCTCTTAATTCACCTGGTCTAGAAAGTCTGTAGGGATGTTTCCTCCCTGGGAGGATGAGCCTCAAGAATCTTTTAAACAAGATGACAATGAAAAAGCTTAATATACAAGAAATGCCTAATACACAAGTAGTAAGGTAAAAGTACACAATTCCTGAAGCCAGAAATGAGTTGCATTAAATCTACTGATGGTTTATCTAATCCTCCTAATGACAGGGCTGTAAGACCATACTCCAATTAGGAATAGTACTTTAGTGGAAATTAGAAAAAGCATCGAGAACTATACCTCCAATGCATGCCTGGAAAACTGCCATTGTTATGGCATAAAGATTCCTAGAAAGTAATACTAGAAGCACCGATCTGGACACCCCCTCCCCCCCCCCCAAAAAAAGCACATCATAGCCCTAGGAAAAAAAAACTGGCAGGAACCTCGCAATAGTTGCCGAAATCCTCAAGAACTGTCAATACTACACAATCTGGGAAGTGGTGAAATTCCTGTGCATCCCCTCATGTTGGAATCCATGGAAATGAACAAGCACATGTGCTGGCTGCTGAGGGAATTTGATAAGACCATACTGAACTCGTACCCAAGATGCCAAATTAGAGATCAGGCAACAGCACAGTGACAAGGTAATTTAAAGAATAGAACAAAACGACCATATCTGTAGGCTGGTACAATGCGAGTGCAGCTGGCAATCTCAATCATTATGGATGAAGTAAAGGTGGTTGCAGGAGAGAATCGGTAATAGTGAAAGTTCATTAAACAAGTACCGTGACCCTGTACGGGGCCCGACATCTGAGCAGACAGCACTTTGTAATCGTAGTCCTAGGGTTCTGGGTTAGATCCCCGGTGGAGATAGTTTCTTTTACCCTGATGCTCCTATTCATCTAGCACTAAATAGGTTCCTGGGAGTTAGCTGCTACAGGCCACTTCCTAGGATGTAACAAAAGAGGCCTGGTCAAGGACCAGGCCGCAGGGACACTAGGCCCAGAATCTTCGACACGACCTCATGAAATTAATCAAGGAGATATCCATGGAAATTCGGGAGTAAAGCAGCAGAATTTCAGAATCTCTGGCAAGACTAGCACTACCAGATATGTCCATTTAAGAGAAATTAGAATCTATTACTGTTAAGAAAACACTAAAAAATAGTGTTAAAAGATTTCCCCACCTTGCACATACAAGATAACTTAGAGGTTGGCAACTTCAATTTTTTTTATAGGCTATTCAATTGAGACCCGTGTCCAAGTACAGGCAACAGGATGACCACCAGTAGGTGTTCTTCCTATTGGGGGTAGTGTGCGCTGCTTTGGAGGCATGTTCACTCAGCATGAGTGGCACAGCCCAATAAAACCCCTTCCACAATTGTTTTGTACAAATGTTAATTTTATACCCATGTCTTGACTAATTAGGGGATAATCTAAATTAAAAATGGTTAAAGCATGAACAAAAGCTAATTTGTAAATTAGAATGCTACAATATTAATAAAAACTTTCCTACCTCAGCCCAATAGCCTAAACAATTAAAAGTCATGTACCAAGTATCTACAAGCCTATTCATAAATTTTTTGCACATTTTGGGGGGTTTAGGGCAGATCAAGTTAACATTCCTGAATTTTATGCATTTCATTATATCCCAAGAATATGGGTAGATTACATTTACGTTAGCCGAAAGTAAATGAAATTACAAGGCAAAATCCTCACTTCCAGTTCATTCACTCAATTCATTACATCTGGTTACAGGCAGCTAGTTTATACACAAAACACGTTGGGCTCGAGAGGTCCGCCCCGCCCCGGGAAGCAGCCCCACAGCTAACAAACTGATAACAATTTACTATAACAGGGAAAGGAAAAAGCGCCCAACCATTTCGGTCCCAGCCGGGATGCGAACCCAGAAATCTCCATAGTGTCGAGAACGAACCCAACAACTACCCTTAATTTATAATAAATTATTTTCACCGATATAACAATTAATGGATCTCAAACTATACAAATTATTCTAGAATAATAATACAAGTATAGCAGAAGCGTAAAGTGTTAAAAAAATTAATTAAAAAGGTGGTCCAATTATTAAAGAGCACACACACAAAATTCCACAAAACCGGCATTTTGACAGCAACTGTCACACCCAAAATTTACAATCTTTCACACCTTAATTATACAGTAACTACGTCCACCTCTCAAACACTTGCCTCCATGACAATCCTGCCCAGCGGTTTGCCATTGGCAGTGATATCGAAGAAGACCTGAGGATTGCCCATGGTGTGGAGACGCTTAAATCTTGCTGGTGAGAGAAGCAGTCCGGCTCTGGTCCAGCAGGGAGTCCCAGAGTGAAAGAAGCTCCCTCGTGCCCCCCTCCCACCAGCCCGCGGACCAATATGCCTTCATGGCTCAAGCTAGTTTTTTTATTTTTCTGCTATTAAATATGTTAACATCAATACTGATATAAATGACTTATATTATTGTTAACAAGATTATAGGTTTTAGTAATATGAGAAACAGTTCTCTTATAATTAATATACACAACTTCATGGAACTAGTTTCTAACGCGGATACATTTTAGTGTGCATGGTGGAATGGAAAATTCCACTCCTTCTTTGCTATTATATGTATAACAATTCAGCATATAAGTAATATATAAATTCAGTATTCAAATATAAAATTTAAATCAATTTGCAATAAAATGATCATAAAGAATTATTACTGAGTAATCGAATAAACGCCTCATACTATAGATGTTTAAGTAACTTCTTCTGATCACAACCAATAGAGTGAGAGGAGAGCCCACGCCAATACCGGACCTGTAACCGGATTGGCTACTGGTCAAGGCGCCAACTTTAAGCCAACATGTTACATTCGTAATAAAGATTTTGGTTAAACTGCATTAATTTGTAACTACAATTTATTTGTTTATTAGAACAGTTGTGCTGATAATACTGACATTATAAAAAATAACACGTAAAAAACACTATCAGATAAGGTCTAGTGTACAGACAGGTACGTGCGTCAGCAGTTCTCGTCAATATTGATTGGCTTAACCTTAGGATTCCTATACTGACTGACTTACAACTATTAAGTTTGGCTCAAATGACTTGCCTTCAGTGTTTAATATTATATTATCATGCAAAGTAGTTATATTGCAAGCAATGTTGTTACTAGCTATCACTGTAATTAAATAATAACTAGGTGTACAGATAAATTATTAATAACCGCATTATGTCAGTTTTATCAGACTATAATTAGTATTCACCTATAGTTGTGTTTGGAGGGGTTGAGCTTCGGCTCTTTGGTCCCATCACTCAACCATCCATTGTCTGATAGAACTGATAAATTAATCAAAAAGTTTAATTACAAAGAAATGACGATGTGACCTTGGATTACATATTAGCAACAGCTGTGAACAATAATTAGTTTATTTATTATTCACCCCGTACCTATTCTGTGGTATGGGATGCATACTAGGTACTCACCTAGTTGTGCTTGGTGGGGGGGTTGAGCTTTGGCTCTTTGATCCCGCCTCTCAACTGTCAATCAACTGGTGTGCAGATTCTGGAGCCTACTGGGCTCTATCAAATCTACATTTCAACCTGTATGGAGTCTCCTTCCACCCACATCACTGCCTAATGCATTCCATTTGTTAACTACTGTCACTGAAATCATTCAAATCAAATCAAATCAAATGTTTATTTAGGTAAGGTACATACATACAAGAGATTTTACAAAGAGTGATGGATTTATAGATAGGGCTAGTACATACAATGCCTAAAGCCACTATTACGCAAAGCGTTTCTGGCATTCTTTCTAATGTCTCTGTGGCTCACTTGGGTACTAAGTTTCCACCTGTGTCTCCTTGTTCGTGTTCTACATATGCCAAATAATTTGCCTTTGTCCACCCTGTCAATTCCCCTGAGAATTTTGTAGGTAGTTATCATGTCTTCCCTTACTCTTCTGTCTTCCATGGACGTGAGGTTGAATACAACTTCAAAGAAAACAAAAAATATCTGGTGCCTTCAACAATCGTCACTTGGAATATTGTATCCAAGCATGGAGACCTCATCTTCAGAAAGATATAGCTTCTTGGAGAAAATGTCACGTCGGGCAATAGGAATCATTCCCGAACTAAGTCATAGCTCATACCAAAACCGGTTGAGGGACACAGGGTTAACAATACTGCTAACCAGACGTGATAAGAGCTGATGGTCTCATCGAAACTTTTAAAATACTAAGCAATGGTTTCAAGCTCAGCAAGCCACAATGTAGGACTGAAAGCAGGATATGCTTTTTTACCCACGACTATAATCACATGGAACTGCCTACCCGCCAAAGCCGTAAATGTCAGAACTCTGTTGAACTTTAAAATCCAGCTTTAAAAAAATACCATGGCAAATGGGAACCTTTAACAAGCCGCCGTCTTCCTGTCCTCGTCGAGGCCACTAGTGTGTTAGTGGTCCTCATGCAAATTCAGGTGAATATCGTCAGGAACATTTACTCCCAGCACCCGATGATAATCCTCGTCGCCACTTTTATGGGTAAGGCAGAAGGAAAGCGCTTGAATTCCCCCCTTGCTGTTCAGGGTTCAGGGAGTGTTTACATTGTTGGTCGTCCGGTACCGTCGCGGCCGCCTCCCGGATGGACTTGATTTGAGGTTGGTGTTGCTTTGGGGGTCTATTACCCCTCCTCTAGGGGATTTCCCTAATTCAACCCCCCCTGCTCTTGGATTTGTGAGTGTTTTCCGGGGTGGTGTTCCGGTACTATCGGGGCTTCCGCTGCATGTTGGTTAGGGTTTACTGGCTTGTGTGCTGGAACAGTGCCTCCGCTAGCCTTCCCGGCTTAGTGCCTTCTTTTGATAATTACTTACTTGCTTTGTATGTCATGAGAGTTGGTTGTGGCTGGTTTATTGTTATATTCTGTGTGATTTGTGTCCTATTGCGAGGGGTCGGAGGGTGTCTTCCCTTCTCGCTTGCTTCGACACAGCTGTGTTGTATGATGCAGTTGCTGATTTTGGAATGTGTTCATTCTGTTCTTGTGTGACACCATCCTCTGACCGCGGTCAATTGTATTATTTTATTTATCTTTGTATTTTTTTTTTGACGCTTTCCCTTGTTGGGACTTATTATGTGTTATATTCTTCCATGTATTTTCTAGAGTTGGTGAAGGTGCCGGCCTCCGTTTGTTGTGGGTCTTTGTGTGTGTTTAATTTTCTTTTGTGTATTCTGTATTTACACGTGTGAAATTGAAATTGAAATTGAAATAAGTTTATTGAGGTAAAATACACACAAAGGGATGAGGTAGCTCAAGCTATTCTCACTCCATTCAGTACAACGTGTTAATATATACATAGACACACATCACAAATAAACATATTACCGAACATTCTGAGAGGTAAACATATACATTTCCTCCTTCACAAGTAGTATGGTATCAGACGTACACACAAATACTTTTATGACCTAGGTATACTGTATAGACAATTTGCAAGACACCTGCAGATAATTCAACAAAATATTACAATCTTGGTGCAAAATTCTTATATCTCAAGAATATCATCAACCTTTCCGTTGTGACACATCCAGGCTATTTGTTCAGGAACAGTCCTTATCTCAGTGTTTCTATATACATTAATCAACGGACAATCAATTACACGTGTGGTCCTGCCTTAACAGTGTTTCCCTGGTGTTGTTTTGTACCCCTTTTATGCGCGCATTTGCGCGGTGCCCTGGTCTGTGTACTTGTATTTCTATGATATTTTTGTATTTATGTATTGGTCTGGAGTATTTTTTTTTATTGGAATAGTGCTACGTTGCTGGTGTTGTAGCCTGTGGTGTTTGACCATGTTATGGTGCTTTGGTACCTTGACTTTTACTTGTATTTATATGCTATTTTACAATAAAGAAAAAACTTCACCACGCACTGCCTGTCTCACTTCACTAGGACGACTCGTTCCACCTCTTCCACGCCCATCCATCTGTTACTGCCTATACCTCTTAGCAATGATCCTGCCTGCCATAACTCTCTACGTGTGCCTATACAATGGATACTATAAACACGAAATAACTAGGTTGGAGATTTTGTCTGCAATGTTTACGTTGACACTCATTTTAAGACACAATTACCTCCGGGTGTTGACTGCCGCTTTGGCTGTCCAGTTAAGGGCGAGTCAGAGGCCGTGTGGGCGAAAGTTATTGCTCCCCTGTAACCAGGCGACTTGCATTTCGCTTCCATTTTCTTACGGGATGAGACGAATATTCCTTGTCATTGCCGAGTGAGTGTCAATACATTTATCTATCTCAAGTGTTGCCTGCCAACGTTCATGTCTGTGTGTTTCAGTCAACAACACCGCCGCACCACCAATAATAACACTACATCAATAACACCACCATCACAACACCACCAGCAATTAACTAGCACCCCCAACACCACCCCAGTAATATCATCACCCCCAACACCACCATCAGCCCAAAACCAATACTCCAACAACAGCACCACCCCTACAATTCCACTACCCCCAACACCATAAATCTCCCTCAAAAACACCACTAC